ACAATACTGTATGATGAAGGTCTCCCCTGACCACACCCACACAAAAACAGTTTGAAAAAGCTGCATGGAAATGCAATTTGGGCATTTTAGTTCTTGTTTTATTTTATTTTTTTCTATATTTTTAGTGTGTCAATCTTTCATTTCAGTAGATAATAAATGCTTAATATGCCATTAAATAGGTGTTGTAGATCACACAGCCCTGAATAGTTTTGTATTACATCATATGATCCAACCTGAAGAGACTAAAATAATGTGAGAAATACTCATCCTAGATCCCTGGAAGTTTCTGCCTTAAAACATGCTACTGCAATACACTGCAACTGTTATTGCAGTGTATTGCAAACCCAATTAATGCTTGCAGACATTTTTTCTCCTGTTTACTACACTCCTTTTTCAAGTGCCATGAAGACGTCTGACGTAAATAATAATACAAAATATTGGCTTCTGACTGTTTTTGCACAGAAATATTGATATCAGCCTTCAGAAACACATGACTGTGAACAATCAAGAGCCTTTTAAACTTCATCATATAAAACAGCCCTCTTGTTAAGTTTTTTTCTTGCTTGCTTTGCATGTCCCTCAGATACAGTCAGGAAAAAATCTCACACAGGTGTACGAGAGCAGGGCCAGTCAATATCTGCAGACATAGCCCTGAATAAGCAGTCCATAATGGATGGATGGATGGATGGATGGATGGATGGATGGGTGGATGGATGGATGGATGGATGGATGGATGGGTGGATGGATGGGTGGATGGATGGATGGATGGGTGGATGGATGGATGGATGGATGGATGGATGGATGGATGGATGGATGGATGGATGGATGGATGGATGGATTGTTGGATGGATGGATGGGATGCAAGCATAATATTCAAACCAGGGGTTCATATTCAGATAGTGCCATGGCTATTCGGTTCCTGCAGATTTGAGACAAACACAGGATCTGACAGTAACAAGCATCTATATCCTATATTGCCAACATGCTGCAGAACTTAACGTTAGGAGTCCTAGTCTTCAGGCACTGTACTTCCTAATAAATTAGCACATTAAAGCATGAACAGCACGTGAGATTAACACTGACCTCAGGTCTTGTCAAGTTCATTAGAAACCTTTAAGATCTCGAAGTTTTGATAAAAGAATCTGTTCCACAGACAAAAAGACTGCTAATCAAATCTGCTATTGGTTTTCTCTCCTCTAACAAGGATATAAATACCAGCTATTGTGAGTCATTGCGTTAGCATGCATTTAGACACCCCAAATTCTCCAGAATAAAAAAACATACAGTTATGTGCTTTCCACAGTGAGCTATGTTTTGTTGGTCATTAATTATCTTGTTAACTGGTGATTATGGAAGTGCATTCTAACAACTGTGCTTTTTGTCTAGGGTAAACAGAGGCAGAGGACACAAACGGCTATTATCGTGCAGCAACGTATGTGATAAATTAAGCAGGAAACCAATAAAAAAGGATTTTTTTTAACATTAGCATTCATGGGAAGTCTTTTTCTGTACCCCCAGTTACTGAGCATTTTTCATTTCTCAGCACAGTCACAGGTGGTGTGGAGATTTCCATCCTGTCCAGAGACTGCAATGTGTTTCAGATGCAAATGTTTTGTTTTCCAAATGATCTAATTGCAATTCTGACTGGTCTGCCAGGCAAGCAAGATCCTTAAACTTTTACAATGTAACGAAAGCTGTTGGTAAAGTAAGTATTTAATCTGCAATGGCCAAGTCTGAATTTGGTCCATGCTGACACTTCAAGCAGTGTAACATGTACTGCATTTACACATAGGAACACACATTAAACAACATCCAACTATAGGGTTCTAACTGTAATTTGACATTGGCAATTAATAAGAAAAATTAAAGAATGTGGATCACTGTTGCTCTGACAATGTCTGAAATGCATGAATGGCCTAAATTCTTGGGTCCACATGTCATCAGTGCAAATCCTTGGCAGAAATCTTGAAATCTCTGAGACAGACCTGATCAAAAATAGGTTTTGCAGTGACGATTTCCCTTATTAAATGACCAGATTACACAGTGCTTGTAGGTTCCTGATTGAATTGGCAGACAAAATCCGGAGCAAACTGGTCACTAGGGTGCTCCCCAGTGAACAGTGTAAATCTGACTCCTTTCCTGCACCTGCAACCCTTTTTCTGGTTTTGCTTAGCTGCTTTATTCCATACTTAACAACACACCATACAACCGTTTGCACATACACACATGCACAGATACGCTACACCACTGACCATCACCTTGTTTGTATACTACATTTCATGTAAAAATATTGTAAAAATATTGGCATTGCATGTCCAATTTCCACTTTGGCATGACATTAAAGACAGGGTTATGATAACATGAGCATATAAAGTACCACTACAAATTTGTCTATTCAGTCCACTGTTCTACCTTCAAAGTATCCTGTGGCAACAAGGGCTAACCTGCAACATACACTCACCAAAGTAAACACTAACACATGGACCAATATGGTCTTTAAATGCAAAATAAATAGGTTTCTTTTAAAAAAAAAAGTATCTTGATTTATTAAAAAATCTATTTTCTCAGTAATGACACTGAGGTTGTATGCTATACAGTAGTTGAGTTATCTATGCCCAGTATGTGCCACTCTACCATGCTTAATACATTTGCCACATTGGATACACAAACAATGCTTCTGTAACCAAAGGCCTCTAAAAGCAGTGTGTGTACTGAATGGTTCACATTTAAGAACACATAACAAATAAATGCAAATTATTTGCACATGCTCACAGTTAATAGTTTTTATTCTATCCAATCATGCCCTGAGACCATTAGTGCCCAGCTGAGTGTGAAAACGCTGACCAGCACCAATGAGAACTTCATTTGAGGCTTCTTAATGGCCTGAGCTCGGGTTGTTGTTTTGAACCATTCACTCATTCTGGCGGCTCCTCACATGGGACACGGATACAGCACTATTAACCCAAGACCGCTATCAGTCCAGCTACTGACAGCCGCCCCTTCTCCAAATAAGGTAATTAGACGAGAGAAACCGGAAGACTCTCCATGGTAACTCACTTACAAACAGGAGGGGCAAAACAATGGACTAGTACGGATGAGATGATTGACAGCTCGTTGCGGCTCGCGCTCTCTGCCTTTGGCCGCATCCATTAGCAATAAGTGCTCACAACAACACACGAATACACATGCATAGGCTATATTATATTTCATCACCGCACTTGGTGCTATTAACCCCCCAGCAGCATTAAATGTATCTCTCCATGTCGCACTATACTATAAACACCGACTATTAAACAAAAGCGTGGTAAACACGGCTTTAACACACCGGTCCGTGCATCCTAATCAATATGCTTCATCTGAACACCTGCTCACTCATCTGCAAAGAAGCCGACGGTTTAGTTTCATATTTTCCAATCTCAGTTACATTATTGTTATTGCATTATTGTCACACCCACATCCTCCTCCTGAGTTGTAATGGCACAGGCTAAAACTTGGCGTAGCAAGATAATATCCACATGGATTTACTCGAGAAAGGAAAGTGCTGCATTGATATTACCTCTGTTTCTCTTGTTCCCCCTTCTTCTTGCAGGCGAAGTGATTCCCCAGTGTGATGAACAGTAGTCCGAGCCTCAACTGGATAACGTTATTCTGTATGCAACTTGGCTACTGCAGGGATACTACTGTTACAACCCTCCAAATCTCAAATTGTAGTCGTCAGGTTGCTGCTCGCGCTCCTTTTAGCCACGCACCACATGCAAAAACCGAGGTATCCTAACAGATTCAAAAGTTACTACGTGTACTCGGAGCTACTGTCGTTAATAATTACTAATTAGTGACTGCGACGTACTGTTGTATGAAAGGCAGAGCAGCCTTTATCCCTCTCATCCACAACAGTGCTGGATGCTGTCGGTCACACCATGTGTCTCCGCCCCATCACCACTCGCACAGTATCAGAGGAAACTGATGATTGATTATTTGACAATTTATATGGACAATCATCAATTGAGTAATTCACTCTCGTTATCACTTTAAATTGCTCTAATTTGGTTAGTAGTCGATGCTATGGTCTATATTGTTTTTGTAAAATTATTCAGTTAATTTGCCCATTAAACGCTACAAAACACAAAACATGATAGTCATACATATGAATCAGTTAAATTATTATACCCTATTTTATTTTATTACCTCATTTATCTAGATTCGGCACATCTATTGTTATAATAATTTACTTGTACCGTGCATTGTCAATTCAGCAAAAATATAAAGGAAACGTCTGATGAATATTTTTTTCAAAATAAACGTTTTAAAAGCGATACAAACACCAGTGGGCACACTATAATAGAGCCTACTTGCGCAAAAAGCGTCTGTCTATGGACACGAAATGAGACAGAAAATGGTTTGACTTTATACTTTTAAGATAATAAACACCCCCACAGAGCAGTATGCTATGTGCTAATCATTGCAATAATCATTTATTTATTTATATGGGATTCTTAGTTATAGCCCTGAATGAGAGTGCTGTAATCATATAGCACTTCAGCCTTGGGACTGCAGTGCAAGAGAATGTAGATTTCAGTCACACTATCAGAGTAATCAGAGGCAACTCTGATTTGGATGTACATTGTATTGAGATGATAATCCTTGCGCCTAATAATGTTACTAGAGGAGAAGCTGTGTGCTCCAGCTGTCTTTCGGTCTCAACATGCCACGCCTGATTTAAATCATTTCACCAAAACGTTTATTATATCAAAGCTTTTATTTTGAATTAATTAATTAACCGGAAATGTGAGTATTCCCGTGTACAGAATGTGAGCTTGGTGGTTCGTCTAGTGCCGTAAACCGACCAATCACAGTGAACTTCAGAGCCCTGCTGGAAGTGCACTCGTTTTATATATTTTAAGTGCCCGGGTGGGCGGGATTCAGGACAACGAGGAGAAAATAAATCTTCGCACCCGCTGTAGAGGCTTATGAAACGACTGGAGACACAAATCGAGGTCACTCTATTTGAGCACTTCCTTTTAGTTGTCAACAGCGAGTGTAAAGGGACAGTGAATCCAGATAGCCGACACCACACAGCCGTAAACAGTGTAGGAGTCAGCCGTTAAACGACTAGCCGAACAAATATTATTCGCAGTCTAGTGTGGCGCAAATAGCTAAGTTTAGGTAGGTAAAGTTTGCTTGGTTTGTCTCTCTGTCATCTTTCCGTTATTGACTGTAACAATGCTAACGTTAGCTGATTACTGATAAGGTTACCAAGTTATGCTGAAACTAGTTTGCTGTTAGAGGTAGATCTAGCCATTTATGTTAAAATGTTACTTAACCACTGTATGGTATGCAAGGCAGGACTTGTATGTTCGCAGCCACATACATAACAGACAGTGGCTATGCTGTTTGGCTAGCAACTATTAATAGCTTGACACAATGCTACTCACTTGTTTAACGCAGTGTTTTTAGACCGATAACTTGTTAACTGTTTAATAAGAAGCTATATGATTCCGGCTTGGCAGTATCAGATGATTACCGTACCCTACCTACATCATTGAATGATATTGTGATCAATGGCGGAGCCTCTGATCTTCTGTTACTTATTTTCTACCTTTGCACTCATAGTTGACATTTGTCATTCTGAACATGTTCACAGGGGTAAACACAGCATGCAATCTGGATGGTCCATTTGTTTGTCCTATACCCAAGTACACTGTGTAAGTATTCTGATGATTGCATCCCAAAGATATGGATCATTCCCAAGTCGTTTTCTTCATGATATATGCTCTATGAAATCAGACAGTGAGGAACACCTTTAGCTGCTGTTATCTCTATCTGTATAATATTGCACAATTTGAACCATATGTCTTAATCTTTACAATCATCATACTGCCATGTACCACACTTCCATACACCAACACTAAACACAGGTGCTTACTCATTTATTTTTCTGTTTACTTCTTTTTGTCAGATGTGACTAAGATTTGAAGGCAGATGCGGACTGAGTGAAAACCCAGTCATCAATCTCCCACTACATCCATGTGTATAATTTTCTTCAAGTTTGACCCCCGGCCTGCATCCAAAAATGCCTACAGGTAGAGCAAATAACCTTCTCATTACATATTGACACTAATTGTACTATACACATGTTCAGCCATGCAGTAGAAGACTTGCAAAGAAAAATATAATGTCACAACATAGATCATGCTCCAGAAAGATAATGCTCAGAGAACGTATCTCAATTTCATTCAAACTTGTGACAGAGGTAATGGCTTTTCGGAATTACTCCACCAAAACTTGGCACTACAAAAATATAACCAAAAATCTTAATGTCTTTAATCAACCCCTTTTCGTGTACAAAGGTCAGAGAGCACAGTAACACACATAACTGCACACCTGGGATATGTTGCCGAGATATGTGGCCAAGATATGTTGCTTATGAGCACTTTGATAGAGCAGTTGATATATGGCATTCTAAAATACAGTTCATTCGCTCTGCTAACCTCATGAATCTGAAGTCAAGCAGCAAGTGGAGAAACAACAAGATTAGGGTCAAATATCATATGCTCCTGTTCACTTTTGAATTCAGTAGAGTATGATTGTGCTAACCTTTAAAATCCTGAAGTACCCACTGTTCAGTCCATCTTGATAAACAATGTTGTGAGGCTATTTTTTAAACATACCTGATATGTCAAGTTGGATTTGTTTTCTTTTTGATACTGCTAGAGAAAAAACACAGTGCTGGGTCTGAATATTTCACTCAGAGTCTGCATCATATACCTTCAATGAACATGCAGCTAATATCCAGCTACAGAACATTCAGATACCATATATATATATATATATATATATATATATAAAATATAAAATGTGTATATAAGGGAAAAAAGCAGTAAGGTTGATAAATTAAGTTGCTGCTGTCATACTGTGATGATGCAGCAATGTTCCCTATTTCATCTTGTTCCAGGATGATCTAGTCTGACACTTAGAGCTTTTAGCAGAGGTGCAAACACATACAAACAGCAGCATAGTTACAAAGGTGTTAAGGGAAAATAATTTCTTTTCTGTAGTTGTATCATCCGTTTTATAGATGTGTATATATATTTATAAGCTTTTATCTACTTTTAAAGTAATGATGTGCTTTCGCCTTTGACAGTGTCATAGGTGTCTATGAAATAACATAAATAGCTATTCAAGACTTCACCAGTCATGTCTTGCACATAATGTTCTTAGCACTGGCAGCATTACAATAATTGCAGAAAACAAACTTTTTTTTTATCTCAAATGTTGCTTTTTAAACTGCTGGATGAATCTTTCTGTTATCTCCATGTGGACTACCCAGCAGTAAATGCTAACTTCTTTCAGTGGGCAGCATAGACCAGTGCAGTACAAGCAGTTAAAGTGAGATGCAGTGTGTTGTGAAGTCCAGCTTATTATAATCCCCCCAGAGCTTGAGAGTGAGCTCTCTACCTGGCCATAGTCCATCTCTGTCCTTCCCGCTGGGAGTCTGACCCCGCCTAAGGAGATCACATCAGAGGTGTGTTATGAGCACTGACTCAGACCTAAACCTGGGGAAAGGTGAAACGTACTGTGCCTTAATGCGGTTACATCAGTGCTATATATAGACTACTAGTTGCGGAAGTAGTTTTCTTATATTTATGGTGATGTATAAATCAAAAGAAATGTGCAGGATACTAAACTGGACTGAAGGCAAGTTTAAACTTTCATTATGTACAATTATTACACTCCCACAGCACAAAATGACAGGAATATATCTGTAGGGGTTAAATGGGTTCATGTTCAGCACAAATGACTCTATGATTACCCACATGCTGAGATTTCTGCATTTCACTTTCTAGCATGCATGTTTTTTTTTTTGTTTGTTTTTTTTTAATTTATTTCAACATTTTCATCTGTGTAGAATGAGAGCCATGCTGTAATCAACCAACCAGCATTGTAATATGATTTGACTAGTAATTGCAGCACCTCTTTGAGGCTAATCAGTGTCACTTAGCGGTCCCGAGAGTCTGCTATGTTCATTGCACCCAACAAGATGAAAGTGATGGACGAAACAAACACCATTATGACAGTTTCATACAGCTTTTGCAGTGGTAGATGAAACTGTTTATCACTATAGGAGTAAGATGTCACTTGTGGCAATCTACCAATTAAATTATGATATATTTGGTATGCAAGTCGACATTTTGGCCCAACACTTGCTCAAGAGGAAGGTCATGGAGTGTCAAAAATATAAAAGATTGATCCTCTTGGGAGCATGAATGTGCTCAGCATACTCTCAAATAGATGCATGGCAAACTCTCAAATAGATTTTAATATTTTTAGTCAGGCTTGAACCATGGAGGGCAGTGGTCCTTCACTTTTGGCCAGACTGAACTTTCTCAACAGCTATTGGTTGGACTGCCATCAAATTTTGTTCAGATTCATTCACATTCATGTTCCCCAGAGGATGAGCCCTAATAATTTTGGTGAACCCATGACGTTCCCTGCAGCGATTAGTATTGGTCTGATGAAACACAGTATAGTAGTAACATTGTCATCAAAAACAGTTTCCTCTGGGGACAATGAATGGATACAGCTAATAACATAGAATTGTAGCTATTTTCCAATAAACCACGTCACAGAACAGCTGGTCGATCAAGAAATTTAACATGACATTAATGCAAGATGAAAGGTCATGGGTCATATAAATCTACAAGAAAACCTACTGAGGCTGCTGCCAAGTCTGCAAACCACTGTGTTTGTTGAATAAATAAAAACAGAGTTCAGCAGCTTTGATACCTCTCTGCTGCTTACCATCCCTTGTACATGATGCAGCTGGCTGACTGTCACTGTGATCTGAGCTGCTCACATGTGATTTTCCCCCGCAGGATCTGATAGCAGATGCTCTCTCTTGTGCAGCATCATTAGTGTTAGCTTTGTTTTCCAGAGCAGTGGTGGCCCACACAGTGCCATGGGAAAAGGCTTTCATTAGCCTTTGATGCACAGAGGTCGACCCCTATTAGGTCAGTTTGGTTTATCTGCTTGCTCTTACACAGGAACCACGCTCCCATCCTGAAAGATTAATAGGGGGACCATTGCCAAACTCAGAGGAAATGTACAGCTGTTGTGGAGGTCAATAAATTTCATTCGCCCCTTTTTCTGGCCTGTGGAGTTTGCCCAAAGGGTGTTTAAGTGCTTCTCTGCAGTGTTTAAATCTATATCTCAGTGACCTTTAACTCTAATTCTATAAATGTGCAACAATTAGTTATAGTGGCAACTTGTTATGCAATTCCTTTATACGGTTACACACCATAGACTACGTAAGTCCACAATACTCTGATGTTAATTTATGTTTACGAAATTCACATGGTGCAATAATGAGAGGTCATCTTTTCCTCTAAGCAAAGGGAAGATTTGTTTTTTCTGTTTCATAACTGCTGAATGGGAGATGAGCTGGATGAAGACTTGTGTGCATGTGTGTCGCTACGTGAATAGTGGGTAATAGATGCTGAGTGAGGATATAAAGCCACTAAGTGATGTTATGTTTCTTTGCTCCACAATTGACAATAGTGACCTGCTGGTAAAGGCATTTAGAAAGTTATAGCTAGCGTTGCAGGTCACAGGTCACAATGCAGTTTGTAGCTGTTTATGGTCATGAGTCTAATGGCATAATTACTCACTGACACGCTGAATAATAATGCAGGTCATAGTGTAGTGCAGTGCTTAACTGACAGGCAGCCTGTGTCAGACCGCAGAGTCACATTTCAAGGTGATTTTATTTTAAATCAGCTCACACTCTTGTTCAGGCTGTTCACTCTTGTTTGTAGCGGTAAATGTTTGTGTTGTAGTTTTGCTTTGGCAATAAAAACAGATTTAGAATTGGATAAACCACCTGCAGAGGTTACTGATGCGAGGCAGGCACAGCCAGCTTTGCAAAATGAGATGTAAATGAGATAATTTGCCTAAATGTGCCACAGATTTCTGCAAAAATTCAAATAGTTTTAACCCTCTACATCAAAAATTCCTTTCTTAAAATAAGTAGTTTCTAGGTTGGAAAATGATCTTTTTCCACACTGCTATACATATATATTCTGTATCACCTCATTCAAACTCTTCACTGAAGCTTTCTGATTTTTTTCTCCTAGTGAAATATTAAAGACTATTTTTTATGTCTGCACCTTTTGATCGGATGGAAGTATTCAAGATGTGGTGTACATCATTTTATGGACATTTTTTAAAATTCAGCCAGATGTACAGTATTAGGGGGAAAAAAGTCCAGTGGGTTTTGATACAGTGTTTGCCAACACAGCATGAGTTTAATGACTGTTAATGATTAGTCACTGGGGTTCAAGAAGTCTGAAAGGAAGGAAAGGAATTCAATAATCTTCAACACTGTGGAACATGATCATAGTAATTTAGAGTATATGTAAAACATTTTAAAAAAACATGAAAATAAAAAAAGCAATTGCACCAAGCTGCTGTGTTACACTGATACAGACAGTACTCTATAGTCGTTTGGATGAAGTTCTTTTTCCCTTTACTTCCTCTGTGTTAAAATTAGTTGTCTGTAAGTGTTATATTGGCTTGTCCTTTGGCCATCTTATTCTTTTTGATCCTCTTTCCTTTGGTCATCATCAAAAGGACACCCTCCGCCTTCTGACCTTTCTTATCCTCTGCATCCTGCTCAGTTAAATTTAAAATAAAATACTCTCTTTGAAGGCTCCTGGACACATCTGCTGCCTTTATTAAGGTGGAAAGCCTACAACATGGTGTGCAGAAAACTGAGTCAATGGCAAACAATCCAGCAACTCATTTGTACAACGATGACCTGTGTAAATCATGGGCAAGAAAAAAGGCCTTCTGTTAGCATGTTATAGAAAGAATGAATGATTACGCTGCATTTAGAAGTGACACTCAAGTACTTATCTAACAACAGAGAGCACAGTAGCTTATATTCTTAGATTGTTGACCATTTGGAAGGTCTGCAAGGGTCACAGATAAAGCAAAGACACAACAGTTTTTTCTTAAGAGCTGCATGGTATAAACATATGATCAAATGCCAACTGACAGAGAAGAAAGGATATGGGCTATCATGTGTTCAAGATGATGAATGAGCTGCTGATGATGGATCTCCTGCTCAGGCCACTGATGGCCCTCTGTAACACCTCAGTGCTTCACGTCAAGAGCAAATGAACAAGACTCACAGCATGAACAAAAATAACAAAACAATTCCTCCAACCGCTCTTTTCCGTCTCCTCAGGCTAATTTTGGCTGCAAACAGAGATGAGTTCTACAACAGGCCATCCAAAGCTGCAGACTTCTGGGGCACTAACAGTGAGATCCTCAGCGGTAAGTCACATTTGAGTCCACCTCACGACCACAAGTTAATAGTGAAGCAAAGAGCACTGAATGAATAACTTCTTTCTTTGTCCTAACAAGAAATAATGAGTAAACATAAAGCAAGTTAGACCTGTTAGTTGTGTTTTGAAATGTAGGCCTTTGCCTCTGTTTACCTTTAATTAACCAGTTAAGTCTCATTATAGTTGGAAGGCACTTTTGCAAGGGAGAACTGGCCAAACAGTAAAAATTTGCAAATAACACAATACAAAATCAAGCAGCAGACAACATGTTTAATTGATGTAGAAGGATGTGTTAAATCTAGACAATTGGAACCTGTGTTAGACGTTAAAACTTTCTCTTTTAGCTCTGTGTGACTTTGTGAAAAAGCAGCAGTTATGGAGTTTTTAGTAGCATCCATATACAGTTTTATTCGAGGCTAAATGCCTTTCAATAATCAAGAAAAAATCTGTCTCCTTCACCTCAGAATCCAATACTCCTCTGCTCCGTCACAGGACATATCCCCCCGTGGTAAACTATATTTAATTGACTGATGTCCAATAGACATTATAGCCAAGCAGAGGAAATCAATCATCCTTTCTTTCTGCTGAAGGAGGAAACGCAGAGATAGCCTCGTTGTTCATCAGTCTCCTCTCCCCTCTGTAATAGAGGGGTCAGGACTCCAGTAGTGGGCCCTTAATTGATGGCTGCTTTTATGCGATGTGACAGGAATAAATGGCTCTGCCTTATCTGTGGGGCTGTGGGGGGGCAGAGGCAAGGCCCTGGAGGAGACATAGCATGACGAGAAGGGAAGTAAGCTATAGCTCCCAGTGGGATCGGACTAGCTTTCCACCCCCAGAGGAATAAGAGCGTTTGGCTGCCTTGGTCACTGTCAGTGTAAGTGGACCTGTCTTTATTGATCACCACGAAGGGCAGTAGACTTTACTGGGCCCCACCTTTTCTGTGTCAGACGAGGAAGAGGAATGTGGAAAGAAAACAACTGATTTATTGATGGATTGATTTAACTTCATAACCGTCAAAACTGTACATAATTGTACTCCAATCAATATATTAAAGGATATATTCCTCATACACTTGCTCTACTGCTTTAGTGACAGTTACAGTCCAGGAAGATTGTATCATTTGCTAAGCTCTGTATTTCATCAGATCTACTTCAAGTTCAGTGTGTTTTCTTACTGCCTTTTATATGTGGAGGAAGGGCATTTTGCTGCTCGCCCCACTGAGTTCTTAGCAGTGAAGTAGAAAATGGAGAATAAGATAACCTATGAGATTAAGGTCAATTTTCAGTTAAAGCTTTAACAGTTTTCTAGAAAGTTTCCTGCAAGAATTATGTAATTTGCCACTCATTGTTGGAGAAATAGGACTTTTTACAAAACATATGATAATTATTAATTATTGGTTTATTATTGGAAAACTTATTTTTCGTGTGTTTACTTGTATGCTTGCCTGTTGACAAGTTTCATATTTTTGTATGTACAGCTCAATGACTAAAAATGCTTCCAGTTCTTTATAGTTAACAAATCAGAAATCTACCAACTGTACACTATCTTGGTTTCCCTATAATAACTACCAAATTACCCGGTTCTTTCCAGGAAACATCATGAAAATTACTCTTTGTACTTCTTAGGGTAGACTGACCTATCGGTACACAGTTAATGTTAGCATTAACAGCTGTTTACTTTCCAGTCTAGAAGAGTTCAGCATCAAACTTTATTCCTTTATTCGCCAAGAGCTGTCTCCAGTGGTGGAAAGTAACGCCAATGTTAACTCTTTGTCTCTGTGGCGTTTTCTGCTAACCAGCTAGCCCCGACCCATCCTGTCACTTTCTGATAGTGACTCACTGTAGCCTCCGATATGCCCTGAGGGCATAGCACTACTCGGAGGGCGTATTATAACCTCTGGTAAACGCAGCAATGGCTGAAGCTCAACAATCGCCACCACCCACTCCCAGGAAGAAACCACGTTCAGTGGTAGAGGAAACTTACAAATAGCTGCTTTAAACCAATCAGGGAAATCTGCAAAAACATGGAAAATTACATTACTAAAGCGATACTGCCAGAGTGTTGCATTTTCTCAGAAGAGTAAAGGAAACATTTATTAATCCCACACAGTGAAGTTCAGGTCTTCTTCATTTGATATATTGTGACAGTTATTTTCATCAATATAACGGCTTGCTGAATGGCTACTAACAGTGTACAATGTGTGTTACCTCAAGATGAAGTCTGCGCTTGATAAACATTCTGCTACTTTTGTTGTTAAACAGGCCTGGACCTGGAGTATGGTAAGGAAGGAGGATCATGGCTGGGGATCAGCAAGAGGGGCAAGCTGGCTGCAATCACCAACTACATGGAAGGACGTCCCAACCCTGATGCACAAGGAAGAGGTGAGGCAGCCATGACACGAATCACAACTATAGTCACTGCTAAGAAGCCTACTGTTAACTCATACATCTCAAGTGTCCTCAGTCTCTTACACTTCAGTTCTATGCTTTAACTGCTTCTAATACATTAGGTCTACTCATGCAATTTCTTTAAACATCATCTAAAAGCAATATTGCATTTTGTGCTACACCTTGAAGGGTCTCATGACATTGTTTTTGCCGCAAGTTTCATACATCTGTCTTGTATTTATTATTAACAATGAGGCAGGTTTATCGAGTGCATAATTTAAGAACCATTCCGTCTTGCTGTTGGCGTTCTGCAGGATTTCTAGTGTCTAACTATCTTATGGACAAAGATCTGGACAGTTACTCCTACCTGAAGAAAGTGTCTACAGAAGGCCACCTGTACAACGGCTTCAACCTCATCACAGCGGAGTTCAAGTGAGTGAAAGGTCTGGTGAAATCTATTTGACTGTCTGGTCCGTCCACAGAGAAAGCTGATATGTTAACATTGTGAGAATCGTTGCACCAAGTTTTGGTTGTAAAAACTGACACTTGTCTTCCAGTAAGCAGCCATACCTTCAACGTGACACATTTCACAAGCAATCTGAAATTTATTCCAGAGACTTAGGAAAAATAGGTAATATGTCTACCTAAGTTCTTTATTGTACTGTGTGGGTGTCACCAGGTGACTTCTGATGGTTGACACACCAGAGACATTGGCAGATTCCTGCACACTATAGGATTTTAACTCAAAGAGTTTTAAACTTGTGGAGAGTAGGTTGTAACTCTGTTCCTCTGGCCTTGTCTTACCTTGGAATGAAACCACAAAGGCAGCGTGTTCATCTCTGGAGTGCAAAGCAGACAGAGCCGAAAAGAAATCTCAGATGTTGGGCTGTGAAAGAGCCAGCATTAAAGTTCTAAAGAAACACCTGTTCATGTTTCAGGGTTTCAGACAAAGAAATCTAGACAGCATTAAAAATAATGAGTTCTTTTTTCTTTTCTTTTTTTTCCTTTGTCAGCCTCACCGGCCTAATTTGACTAAATTTGGTGACCTGGTAAAAAAAGAGAAAAATCAAAGTGGGATCAGTGCATTCTGAGATAGCTGTCATGGTGGAGACCCCTGCAGACAACTGGCATGGAAACAGGTCTCAGTTTCTGCCAGGGAGAGGTTGGCGGTTCAGCTCCAGCACATATCCCTGCTGGGGGAGACAAAAAATCAGGGTTTACACAGTGGAGTTTGGTGTCATGATCTGTGTATTCTGTTAACATGGCCTCAAGCAGGATCTCCTCTCAAAAGGGATTTATTTATGCTTGTACATCCCTTCTCCTACAGGTTTAGCACTGCTGAGGTTACAAAGATACACTGGCTTTATATAACCACTATAAATAAAGGAATTTCTGTCTGTATTTCAATTTTCTCAACAACCACTCACCTGATCGACTTGAAACTTCGCAGGCGTATTGCTCAGGACCTAAGGAAGTGCAGTGCTGAATTTGAAGTTGTTTGGATGATGCTCTCAAGAAAGCTGCAAGCTGAATTAACACAGGCCAAGCAATCAGCCCCTACCAACAGGCACTGCTCTAGTTATTTTTAAAAACTATGATGGTAGCTAATCATTGCTGCCTACCTCCAGTATGATGGTTATGATGTAATTTATTGAAACAATGTGTCCTTGATTTCAGACAGAGGTTTTGTTTCTAGCTGTTGACATAGCTCCAAGTAATGAGTTGGTTGAAAACTTCATCTGCAGTTGACTTTTCAATATTTCCAGCTGACTTGTTATAAAAATGATTAACCTGTAAAAAGGTCTTAAACAAGGACTTAATGACTAGGTACAAGAAATCATTCAAAAAGACTTATTTAGCTAAAGCATCGATGATACAAGCTGAGGCACTGTTCAGCATTGTTCTTGTATTGCAGCATAGAGCCAGTTTGTCCTACTGTAAGTATGAAAAGGAAATGGTTCAGATCAGACTGATATTTTATTCTAATGTGACACTGTTTGACAATGTATCTTAGACATTTGGAAAAGCACGACTGAGATTAGATTTATGTTTATGCTTTTCCAATGTTATGTTTTCACTTTAAATGTAAAAGAAAAGCCTTTTACTCTGAGGATTAACCAGTGTGTTCGGCAAACATAAAGCTATCTAAGGTAAAATGTTTGGCTGCGGTTGCTGAAGGAAAAAAACTTCCCCAAATCCAGTAAAAAGCAACACAGTGTCATTAATATTATCCCTAACTCTGATACAGAAGTAGTGGCATCCATAACATAACCCCACAAAGTACTGTAATATAAAATGGTCCTTGGCTTTTGTTTTTGAAAGTCTAAAAGAGACACCACCCTCCAAAATCTTTACATGCGCAGTATTGCTCTTAGTAGTTCTCTATGCACATGCACACACCAAAGCTGGTTAGGCCTGCTGTGCAGAGCTATGCTTGCTAAGCCATAATTGGACAGTTGCTGTTTGATGAAGGAATTTAAGGAAAGTCCCAAGTTTGTAGTCTCTGCACAAAATAGCTAGTTGCAGCTTCAATCCAGAAGTATCATTTTTATTTCAGCCTTTGGAAGCCCTTTGAATTCTTCTTTCACATTGGACTGAACAGATAACAGCAGCTAGATGGCTAAGCTGTCACTTTTTTTTAACTAATAAATAACAACAACTTCCTCAGTTGATTTCTTGCATTAAGACAATTATTTTCTGTATTACAAGTTTCCTGAAATTTTATATACAGTGTATATGCAAATGAGGTATATGGGTATCTCTTTTTATTGCTCCATAAATCTGTAAATACTCCAGAACCATAAAAAATCAATTTATACCATGTTTTTAGGAATAAAATGTTGTATAAATGAGGCTATTAATAATATATAAATAACCCTGTGTAAAAACCTTGAGAATATAGATTATTATAGGAATAAAACTGGAAAGTTGGTTGGTTTATGTAAGTGCAACTGAAGCAGAGATTTCTGGCTCAGACTATGAGAAAAAAAGCTAGTTTGAGAAAACAGCCTGTGTATTGTAAAATGTCAAGATTTCACAATTTTCACTTTCACAACTTGTTACTGATACAAAGGGTGTGACCAGTTTGGATCCAATAACATTGTGCAGGAGAGTGAGAGCTTTACAATAATACTTTACAATGATAACGATACAGACTGAAACATGTTATGGATGCAAAATAGCCCAAAATCTCAAAATTGACCAGTGTATGAAATAAACAATGTTTTTATCTGTCGTGTTTCACCTTAATGAGAGAATAAGGTGCCACCCCACGCTCATGAGACACCAACAAAGTGAAAGACGCCCTGTGTTTTTTGTTGCGATGATGATAACTGTTTATGATTTCCCCTCAACTACCCATCTGAGAGCCACGTCCACTGCAGATAGAGATAACACAGTAATAGAAAGCCAGCCTACATCTATTGAATAAACTTCGTCATTACAAGCCCATTCATTTACACTGTGGTGTGCCCAGCAGGTTAGAGGAAATAAGGCGTCTAGTTTCTTTCCAGATCAATAACTACATCTGGTGGATAGAGGATATCTCATTCATCTGTAAGTAGAGACGTGATTTATGATGTGGTGCTGGTGTGAGACGATATGTATCATCATTTTTTTAGCATAACCTGTCTTCACTCATTTTGTAGAGAGCCTGTGATTACCCTCATTGAGATGCTTATGAGAGAAAGGGTGTACACTTAATACACACCCCAGACGCATTAACAGATTTCACTCAGGCCAGGATTTCTGGGTTGCCTGTCTTTTAATTGTGATACTTGTTAATCTAGTATTGCCTTGATTAGCAGTCCACAACCATGTTGAGTGGTGTGCAAGTGATTTGGTCAGTGGCAGCCATGCATTTCCAAAACATCACGCTGAGCCTTCCCCCAGTGGAGCTAATACCATATATATTTAAATTTTGATCTCAGATATTCTCAGCTTGATGCTCTCATGGCTCCATATCCAACATTTCATCTGACTTTTCTATAGCGTTGGTTTTTGATCCCACTTTATGTCACTCTAGCTTTAAAGTCAGTGCCCAGAGATTATCCATTTTAATGAATATTTCCTCTGATGTTGCTTGCAAAGAAATGCTACCCTTAATGCATTTTCAGTCAAGCAGAGTGTGGCTATTTTATAAAAACAACTTAAGAAAGTGGTTCAATCTTATGGCCTCAAACCATGTGTTGTAATTCTTGGCAGAAACTTGTTGGAGCTGAAAAAGAAAAACAGTGGCGCAGCAGATACGCACATTCCACAGTATCGGGGTGGATGAACTCCGAACATTTTAAAAAGGAACTATTACTGTTAGAAATAGTATTTTTTCCAGGTGCTTGTAAGGTTACTTATGAGAAAACACATTCAGTTTCTGTGGAATAAAACATGATTTTCTACTGAATAGAATTGTCAGTAGATGCTCACAGTAAATAGCCTCAAATATAGCCTTCATTATTCATTGAGTGAATCCAGATGTCCAAAAGTCGCCACAAAAAATTAAAATAATGTTGATTCTGGCTCTGTAGTTTTTAACATGGGGTCATAGGTTTTTATCAGACAGGAGATCTGAATCCCACTACATTTTTCCCTTCATTTATCCTGCTATGAAAGGCTGTCTGATCTTATGCAGGCTAATTTTGCAAGACTCTAGGTCAGGTGAGATAAGATTTCAGTATAAAGTTATAAAAGAACATTAGTCTTCTATTTATCAAGTCGGAGGTCACCTTTTTGGCCACATAAAGTAGCTGATGTTGAAATGGTATGTCAGTATTATTTATAATGATGAAATCATTTTACCATATATCTCCACATAATGAGACAGGAGTGTACAGCCATGCTAGTAGTTGGGCTTTATGTGAACATGCTCACCGTGACAATGCTAACATGCTGATGTTAAGTACAGTATGTTCAGCATTGTAGTTTAGCATGTTAGCATGCTAATATTAGCTGATAAGGACTAAACAAAAAGTTCAGCTGAGGCTGATGGGAATGTCATTAGGTTTTCAAGTATTTAATCATCATCCACAGCATTGGGGAAATTGAAATTTTGACCTCATAATGGTGTTATATGAAACCTCAGTGGATCACTAAGGTTATTACAGTTCAGCCTATGGGTAATGTTAATCTGTGCCAAATTTCATGGTAATCTATCCAATAGTTTTTGAGATATTTCGGTCTGGATCACACAGTGGACCAACTCACAGACCAACATTAGCATCCGTGGAGGCAGTTTTCCTGCTGGCATGGAGAAAAATGATTAAAAACGGACAAGTCAAGTCTGTTTTTTTCATTCCATGCTTTTAGTGTCTGCATCTGTGGGTGTACATGCACAGATGTGTGTGATTGGATATGAGAGTACATGTTGTCATTACCCAGGAGCCCCTACCAACATGCCAATCTCCATTCTGTGCTGATAATGTTGAAAGCTCGTCCAACCATCTCTAGGCAACTACACCACAGCTGGCGATGGGGAAACTGCTCCGCAGCCTCAGTACAGAGGACTCTTCATTAGAACATCTCCCAGCCAGCATACTGATTACGTCTCTGACAGACATCTGAAAAAGCCTGTTTTTCGACTCTTCCCTCCTCGTTCTCTCTCTGTCCATTTGCCGTGACCTCCTGCTGTTCCTTCATCTCAGCCCAAATCAAGCCACAGCACACCTGATAGGACTCTCAATACTGTAGCCAGTTTCAGAAGGCAGAAATAGAGCTATCTCTCCACAAATCCTCCACCTGCTACACCATGGTCAATTTTGTGCACATTACAGGAAAAGCGTATATATGTACGTGGGTAGACACCAGGTCTTTTGGGTATTGTTGTGTTCAGGTCACAGTGCCTGGTCACAGTATCAAAATAGTCTTTCAGACATTGTTTGCCCACGGCCGAACTGACAACAGGTAGGGGCTTTACAGACACTCACATTTCCTTTCAGGTTACAGTGCCACCTGGTTCCCATTGAGCAGCTACTGTGTACATGCGAGTATGAGGGGTGACTTCTATCAGCCAAGTCAACACTGGCTAGTACTGCTGTGTTCATAGTAACCATAGGAACACAGAAAAAGTAGTTGTTTATTCAGACTGTTCAGCTGGGTTTGTGGACGACTTGGCAACAATATTAAGGTCTTTGATTTGTTGTTGTCAGAGGGATAGTGTAATGTCAACCTACAGCTTTCAGGATTCTCTCGCAGCTGCTTGGACACATATTGTCCGGCCTTTAGAAATCACTCTGCCCCAGGAAATTTACACAAGACACAGAAGCTCTTGCGCAAACAGTTAAGAATGACCTCTGCACAGGGGCAGGGGGTTTTAGGCAAGCATGTTTATCTCTCGTCATCTGAAGGGTATGAAGGTGAGAGTGTGTGTGAAGTTTGCTCATGTCAGTCTGTGTCATCATATTATTCCCCTTAGTCCTTGGTAGTTTGCAGAGGTTAAAAAGAAATGATAATGTCCCAGAGGAAAGCATGGAACGAATTATGAAAGATGCACACAATAATAAACTGACAAATCAGAGGAGATCAGATGATTTTAAATGAATGTGAACAATCTGAAATGCAAGCATATTAACCATCACGTCACAGCTTCTCTACATCATTCTGTCTATGAGTTCAGTTGACCTAGCAGATACTGATCCTCACTGCTTCTGTTAACATTTGGTGCTGGAAAAGAAGGACAATCGTGTCATTGTCTGAGCCACAGTGAGGTCCAGCTTTGATAATCAAATAAATAAAAGACACTAGAATCTTTGTTTATAAAACGTGGTCCATATTTCTTGTGCATCATAATTCAAACCAAATACATACGATATATATAAACATCACCAGGGCTGCAATTGAGGATTATTTTCACTATTGGTTAATCTACCTAATATTTTCCCAATTAATCAAGCAATTGTTTGGTCTATAAAACACTAGAAAATGGTAAAAATTAAATTCCAATCATAATCATTTCAGACCAATGAGATGTCGTCAAATGGCTGTCCAACCAACAGTTTAAACCCCAAAGATAATCTATGTATAGTGACATAAAGCAGAGAAAAGCAGCAAATCTTTACTCTGCTAAGAAATGTGGTAAAGCTGTTAGGTGGTTAACATTCTTTCGATCAGCAACTTGATTAATTGACTACTTGTTTTAGCCGTGAACATCACATATAAAATCTTTGTAAATGGGTTGTATGGCAAACGTTTTCTACTTGTGGTGATAAATGGTAAGGACCAGCGGCGTAGCTCCCTTGCCTAATTTGTATTTTCGCTTTTACAACTATCCAATAAATTTTGTTGCAGAGCAACAGGCCCAGCAGCATATTCTGTTCCTGTCTTGCCAGCTCTTGACTGGGAAACTTTCCAAGTTAGATGTTGAAGCAGTGTTGCACCACATTTCAGATTGACTGATGCGACTGGTATGGCTGTCATAAAATTGACATCAAAAAATTCATTCCCCTACTGGTTCAAAGGATTTGGTCATAATTTATTATTCACTCTCCTGTACCAAAGCCGTCACAGATGCCCTTGATGTCAGACTGATTTTTCAGGCTGAATAAATTCCCTCTAACTGAGGACTTTGCAAAGAGATCTAACACCGTAACTAAATGGTTTTGTGGTAGTCAAAGGTGTTTGCATCGCTAATTTATATTTTGATGCCTTAATGTTACCCAGTTGTTCCTTTAGGATAAGATTTAAATGCTGTAAATTACTATGGTGTTTGGTATTTTCCCATTTGAATTGCACGTACAAGTGAAACAGCCTTCTTAATTCCTTTTTTCCGGGACCGCAAAGAAAATTAGTCATTAAAGAATACTGCATGGTGCACTGTTGATATTCTCCATCACCCTGAGCACCCATTTTACATTATTCCCTCAGAAGGGCTCCTTTGAACATCATCTTTGCTGTGTTTGCATTTATTTCAACAGTGTAGACACATTATGACTCTTACCACTGCCTTCATAATTAGACATAAACAAGTTTAATCATCACTAAATGCAATCCCTAATTTTTCTATCTTACTGTGTCCCATGTAGAGCCAAACAAGACATTGTGTGTTACTATGGAAACAGAGGCAGCCCTGAGCCCATCCGTCTAAAACCAGGTCTGTGTTTTTAACATGGTTGCTGTAGAAACCGTTCATTTCACATTAACCTCTCCTCTCTGCCCATGGCCCGTTCATATGAGCCTGACATTTCCATGTTGATGTTGCAAGGTCACTAACAGAGCTCACTAGTGTATGTATTTGTCTGCATTTTTCATGTGCTCCTCAGCAGGAATCTATGGCTTGAGTAATTCTCTGCTGGACACTCCATGGAAGAAACTGCTGCAAGGCAAGCGCCACTTCACCAGCGTTGTCAACGACCAGTCCCTGTCCTGTGATGGACTGGTGCAAGAGCTGCTCAATGTCCTCAATAATGAAGAGCTGTGAGTGATGAACTCCCACCTACCCATTCCCTTGCTAAAGATTCACACACTGTTATAACACGTCATTTTAAGTTGTATTTATGTATAAATAATTTTAGTTTTAGAATTATTTTTTTGTTTGATTTAGGGACTTTATGATGACACGTTGAGGGTATTTACATGTACATTCACTAGTGATGTATAGTGTAGTTTGCTGACAGTGAACATGTATCAAACAGTTTTAAGGGAATACTTAATAAAGTAATTCTCTTTCATGCTGAGTGTTAGAGGAAAGGATTGATAGTACTCTCATGTATTTACGATAAATATCAAGCTACCACCAGCTTAGTTAGCTCAGTTTAGCTTAGCTTAACTGGACTTGAAAAACACCCAGCTTTGCTCTGTCTGAAGGAAATAAAAAGATCTGCTTACCAGCACCTATAAAGCTCACTAATCTACACATTATGTCTTGTTTATTTAATCTGTACAAAAACAAGTTGTGATTTTATGGGTTCTTATGTGCCTGACGATTTTTTGGCTAGGTTAGACTTTTGTATAAAATCTGTCTGATCACTGATAGTTTTGTGGCATTATGGCCTCTCCTTGAACTCTGTTGCAAAGCTGTGTTTAGTCCTGACAGCAACATAACATATCTCAACAGGAGAATGCTGAGTAAAGTGTTTTTCATAACTGATAGGAATGATGGCCAGAACTGTAGCCCAGGCTATAGAAAGGAATTCTCTCTTGTGCAACTAAAAGTGCAGAATTTGAAATATCAAACATCAAATTTTTGACGAGAGAGTATAAAGTGGACTTGACCTAAACATTAATAGGTAAACCCAGCATGTCTTGCCACCCCAGTGAAACGTCTAGACAAAGTCTGTTGGCTAATTGAATCCGTAATCCTCTGCAAAGCAGTACAATGATACTGGGAGCTGGTCGAGCGCAGACAATGGAGAGTGATCAAATCTGAAAAAGGGGCTCGTTGCATACCAAAAAAACTGAACTGTGGACCGGCTTAAAATGAACTGATATTTACTTAAGCATTTTCTGCAAGTTGACAAGCAAGCAACGAATTTTGTGTCTACCTCATCAAGTTCGCTTGTGAACTCGCTGTTGTGTATATATATATTTTTTATTTATCCAGACTCGACAATGATGCGGCTTATTTTTGGCAGGAAATATTTTCAGTGAGATGTGAGTTAAGAGAAAGTTTCCAAACAACTGTGTTCTTTTAGGTTTGAGACACAGGGACTGAAATAAATGTGCAGTACATCTGTATCAATGCACATTATGGATCGCTCATGAATGGAATGTGTTGACTTAAATATGCTGCATGCACAGTATGGAAGAGAATGGGCAACTGACTCTTCCTAAAGAGGTGTATTGTGTGTTTGTTTAACAGGAACGCACCTGATCCAGCTCAGGAGAGCCAGGGTGATGGTTACAGTAAGCCCATGATCCAGGCTCTGTCAGCGGTGTGTGTTCGCTCACCTCATTATGGCACAAGGTCAGTGTCTTCCACCCACACAAAAATCTCTATCTGTTATCTCCCCCTGTTTCTCTCCACCTGAGCTAACTGACAGGACTGTGTTAGACTGCAGGATCATAGACAGCAGAGAACTGTTGGTACATAAAAATCCCCAGTGTAATCAATCCTCCACAGCGAGGAAATGAAAGGGGATTGTCTGCACTGTGATGCCACGGTGGATTAGTGGATACAGAGACTGTCCTGTAGCCAAAAGGTCAGAGGGTCAGTCTTTGTCAGAGCCATCAAAGTGTCATTTTGCAGGGCACTGTCTGCTCCTGGCTGCTCATTCTTGATAAGGGTGTTTGGCTAAATACCTCAAATGTGAAAATTTGACTGTTAAATGATCCTTCAGTAGTTGTCCTCCTTTGTTAATCCTCCCACATCCCTGTGTTCTTCGATTTATTTTTCAAGCATTTTCAGTCATTAATGTTAGACTGTGTTTGTTTGCTTGTATCCCCTTGTGCCCTTGCCCATTTAGGACCAATACAATAATCTTGATAGACGCAGAAGGGAACGTGACCTTCACAGAGCGCACCATGCTCAACTGTGACACAAGCAAATGGAGCACCAGTTCTTTCCAGTTCAAGCTGCAGGGGTGAGGGACATGATGGAAGAAACCCACTTTGTGCCTTTCTGCATCACCTTTCCTTCTGTCACCCCGAGTCCCCCGCCTCCAGCTGCACTTCACCATAGCAGCTATGTGAACATGAAGAATCATCTGCACTTTTTCTTCAGCTAGTCAGCACTAGCTGCCTCATTAACTTCGGTGATATGTATTTCTTATTCTCGATTTAAGTTAAAATGCATCTTTTGAAACTACTGTACTAATTTAAAACATTGCCAAAGAACATATAATTTTGTAGAGGAAAATACATCACAAAACAGCAGTGTTGGGTTGCTTGAAAAAGTCTAATCCCTTACAGATTGCAGGTAACCTGCTTTGAACTGCGATCAGTACTGTTGTTCACAAGATTATTTTAATTTATTCTTCTTGTTGGTGTCAGATTTTTACCTTTAAATCCATGATATTGAGTGAATATACACTTTATGCACATTTTCCAAAATGCAATTTGAAATCACATTCTTCAGCTATAACAAATGAAAGAACAAACATATTTTAATGTAAAAATGTTGCATATTATTTTCCATTTTACACACTGAGAATTCATTGGGTCACCAATATTTTTCTAGAGAATGTGTAATCTGATGTAAGATCACAGCAACTGTCAAATATTACTGTCACAGGTAATTTGTCATTCCCCATCCCTGCACAACTGTAGTCTCAGTGTTAGTCACAGCAGCCATTTCAGTATTGAATGCAAATAGTTTCAGGCACTGGATCTCTGACTGCTTCCATGGTAGAATAATGCATTTCAAAGCTGCTTGACAATAAAAACAATTTATCCAAACACTCACTTTTGCCTTACTATATAATGATTGTTGACAATACACAAACACACTTTGAGGAACCCAGTTTTTTTAATAACCAGACATATTCAAGCGCCTGTCAGGTGCCAGAACAGCCAGCTCTTCCTTTTACTGGAGTGGGGTCCAAAAATACTGTCACTTTATGAAGCTTTTAAAGTGCTATGTTGCCATCCAAGTCTGCATAAGGTATAATAGCCCACATCAGACTTTATTCTCTACAAAAAAATGTACTGATCTTTTTCACTTATTTTGGCATATCATAGTAGGAGATGAAAGTGCAAATAAAATACCTTCGAGCCACTTCAGTTTGTGGATTCTTGTTGATGTTCTTTATAACACCTGTACTTTTTCCTACTTTCATAAGTATAGATGTTTGCTGAGAAAATGATCTGTGGAAAAAACAAATATGGAAAATATCACCACATTAATTTTAATCTAAAGAGATTTAAAATTGCAGCTCTTGCACTAAATTAGAGCTACATGTTATGTTAATCAGACACATGATTTATGTTTAAAATCTCCCCAGTTACCTAACTTTTACCCTAATTATCCTAACGTTATGCATTAGAAAATAAATCAAGGAAGTAGGAGGACGAAACCACCTCCACTATCCCTGCTCTTTTAGAGGAAAGAACTGAAGTGAAGATGCTGTGCATTATTTCAGACTTACTACTGTTAGTCAGTAGTGACCCCAACTGGCAGGTTGAAATATTGTGATTCACTAGATGCTCATGTAGTCTTTAATCGAGACATCAGGAAAGGATGATGTGTCATATATTTAGTACAGTTAAGTGACACTTTAAACTTTAGTCTGATTAAAAGCAGGGAGCCGGACTCTTTACTTTCATGGACACTGATGGTAAGGGAACAAAAGAAAACCATAAAACAGGGTGTGTTCTTATTACACTCAGATGAATATTTTTTAACGATGCAGCATCTACAGATCTGGCTGCCAAAGAAAATTAGTTCATGCATATGATAGAGTGAGAATTGTATTTTTAGTATAAGAAGAAAACAGTGAACAAACACGAGATGTGTTTGCAACGTAAATAAACCTTAAAAAACACACCATCAGTTAATCTGTTATATGTCGTGTTTTTGAAAGTTTTCTTTCGTTTAAAATATTAAGATCAAAGATTTAAAAGATAGTAGTCGGTCAGATTTTTTTAAAGGTAGTCAACTAAAGTTAATTCAGAATATATTATTATTATTAATATTATTATTATTATTATTTATTGAATATTCTAGCGCTTAACGTGTTGCTCATCGACCAAGATGTCAAATGCTTGATTGGTTGAATCGTACCAGTAGATGCGGTGGAGGGACGTTGTGATTGGCCTGCTGATCAATCATTCATAAAAAGCCGGTACTGGGAGGCGGGGACTGCCTTGAGTTTTCCCTGTGGTTTTCTTCAAGATGGCGGGGCTGCTAATGAGTCCTTGTGGCGGCTCGTTGAGAAATAAAATCATTTAGAAAGGTAGTTAGGCGCCTAGTAGGAGACAGCCGTGTCGTATTTATCGGTGAGTATTTATTTAACCCCCTACCTGACTGTTTTTGGCCTAGCTGACCATTTTTGTAGACGTAGACATCTGTACACCCCGATGGTTGCTCGCTAGCATATTAGCATGGACGTTAACGTTACCAGGGGCCCGCTGTGCAGCTGCAGACTGCACAGATGCGCTAAAACGAGGTCTTTCCCCATTTTATTTTACGATGACTTGGTTTGCAATTTGAACTTGGGTAAACGTTAATCATATTCCCAAGGAAAAGGATCTACACGTAACGTTTCAGTCATTTGTACAGCTACATGGTAACGTTAGTACTACTAGTACGTTAAATGTCCTGCATTAGCACGTTATTAGTCATAAAGTTGTAGTAACTAACATTTACTCTCACTGGTCCTTTTCTCTAGCTCCCAGAAGATCCCATTGGAGGATGATCAGTGCCTAGATCCCATAATAAGCTGAATGCATTGTGATTTCCAATAATTGAGACAGTGATTCTGAAAGCTGTCTACATTAATGAAAAGAACAATGTAGTCAGCTTAGCATATTCACCTCTGGTACGTGGTCTTTACAGGGATGTGCTTCTGCATGCATTCTGGGTTTAGATAAGAAGGAAGTTTCTTAACAGGTTAGATTTTACAATTATATACCAGTCTGTATGTGTAGTAGTTGTTAATACACAGGAAATGGAGATAGATGATGTTCTACCCCCTCTCCCCTTGGAGCCACCTGATGATTTTGGCCAAGATGAGGGCAGAGCACCTCCACCACCTCCCCTGCAAACGTCCAGTGACGCAGAGGTAATGGACGTTAGCTCTGGTGGTGATGGATACACATACACCCCAGGGGACGGGGAAGCCAAGGCACCGCAACCCCTCAGCAAGGGCTCAATCACTTTCTGTAGCCACCTCTCAGATGAGGCTAATCCCAACCCACCGTGCCCTAGAACAGCACGCCACGCTCCCCCGGTCACCAAGTTTCTACCAGACCTCAAGCTGCTCAGAGACGTTAAGATCAGCGTAAGTTTCACTGAAAGCAGCAATAGTAAAGACAGGAAGGTTCTGTATACAGGTGAAGGGCAAGATGGAGGAAGTGATGATGGCTTAGACGGACTGAATGGTGAGTTGCATGACTGGACTAGTGAGCAAGAAGTAGCTGAGGGTAGCTCTGGCGCAGGGAACGCAGGCAGAACATCAGAGGAGGCTGAGGTAGACGTGGAAAACAAGGTTGAGTTTGCTGTCCTGGATGAATTGGATGACTTCTACGACAACTTCCTGGATCATGATGATGGGGAGCGTGGTGGCTTTAAGTCTGAGGTCATAGTTCAGCAGGAGCAAGCAGATGACGACGCCACGCCATATCCCTATGAGGTACGTCTCGTTCATGTGTCTGCAGTATTCATTGTCATTCGCAGTTACATTCCCAATTTTTCCTTCAGTGTCAATCAGAAATATTGTACGCTTAATACAGCTCATACAGTGCAGTCCTTAGAAAAGAGGACATTATCAGCACTGCATCATTCAATACAGCCTCCCGTGTCATTTCAGTGAGACCACTGTGTTGGCACAGCAGGGTGCAGCATGAACAGTATAATTTTGATGTTTACCTCATAATGTTTTAATTTAAGGAGAAAATACTTGCTGACGAGATAACATTCTCATAACAGTTCTTCTCATAATATTGTAAAACCAACTGATGTCTAAAAAATTAGATTACTCAAATTGAGTTCCATTTTCTATCACTAACACCTGGAGCAGCCCCTCCAATCCAGTGCAGTTTTTAGTCTTAATGCAGCCCAATGGAGGCCAAGAGCTTTGGTGTATTTGTGCCAAAGACGATGTAATGTAGGTGTCAGATCGCACAACATCAAAAAGTACCCAATAGTTGTATGTAGCCATGAAGATGATTTAAGTTGCCACTACCCAAATACAACAGTTGAATGCCATTAGATTTGAGGCCTTTAAAGCATCAAATGTACATTTGGAAAACCTAAACAGCCAAAAGGTCCAAATGTTTAGTACAAAACAGCATTTTGGTGATGCATTTGATGCTTGATTTTTCCTTGAAGTTTCAATCAAGAATCAAAGGGCCAGTTGAAAAAGAAAATCAAAATGCCAGAAAAATGACGATTGTAATGATTTCGTGATTTCACATTACTTGAGATTACTTGAGACCTTTTCTGTAACAGTTAAGACAGGATCAAATGTTCCATAAGGCAGCCTAATTTTAAATAAATGTTTTTGTTTATTTATGGTTTTATTACTGAAATGAGAAGTGAGATGCTGGAAGAGGTTAGTGCAATTTTTAATTTCTCCCTTTAAATTCTGGGTTTCCTTTTGATACAAGAGTAATCAATGGTAATTGAAAAAAATGAAGGGATTAAAACTGCTAAATGTATGATTTTAATTTGTAGTAGGTGTTTGTATAAGTTATCTATTTCTGAATTCAGGAGTATTTCACTTTTATGCCCCAAAGTGGAACAGATTATTTTTGCTGTGGTTGAGATGTGGTTTTGGTTCCACCAGCTATTCAGTTTATGCATCACATCGGTTAAAATGAAGCATTCAAAACTCCCATAAACTGGTGACCCATCCTTCTCTCCCAGCCTTAACCATTGACTCTTCCAGGAGGAGTTTGACAATGACGTCGATGCCCTGCTGGAGGAAGGCATGCCGGTCCCAAAAAAGATGCGCCCTGCAGAGGACAAATATGGCGGGGACAGTGATCATCAGTCGGATGGTGAAGGAGGTGTTCAGCCTATGATGACCAAAATTAAGACTGTCCTGAAGAGTGAGTGGTGGATCTGTCTGTTTTTAGGGTTGGGCACTATCAAGGAGCGTGCAGTTGAATGTGGTTTCAGTAGTGTGGGGCACAATACGCTATATTCTAAACGGTATCTACTACATGTGTTACATCCGTTACATAAATGTATTTTGAATTAAATTGATATACCAATAGGATAATATTGTGTCTTTAGTCTTGTGTTGCACAGTTTTGTGCATTGCCAATATAGATTACAACACAGGGTTTCCCCAAGGAAATCGATTAGCAAGGGTGATAGGATCTGCACAACCAAAGTGGATAACCAATGGCCCTAGTTTCTTTGTTGTAGAGCTCTGAAGTTGCATCACAGTTGAAAAGCACAAGCAAAAAAACTCTTATTTTATAGATGAGAGTCCAAGCTGCAGTTTTAAGTTGTGTCACTTCAAAGTATCACGCCGTGTTGTTGTTGAATAAAAGTTGTGGTGAGTTGTCACCCTATAAACTGCTGTTCTTTTGTAGTCTAATGTTGACATCCAACTATTACCTGACAAAAGTTGATGTTCAGTAACATTTTATGTTCAGCTCTAACGCTTCCTTACCTGACTTCAAACCTGACTCGAACTTTAAATTAAAACCATTTTTACCATTTATTCCAAGCCTGAGGTTAATTGTGGCCATACTTAAATATCTCTTGACTGTTTATCATGCAAGTAGGCATGCATTTTCGTATACATTTTCCATTTGCCAGGTCGGGGGCGTCCTCCCACTGAGCCTCTACCTGATGGATGGATCATGACATTCCATAACTCAGGCATTCCAGTCTACCTGCACAGAGAAACCAGAGTGGTTACCTGGTCCAGACCCTACTTCCTCGGGACTGGCAGTATTAGGGTAAGATGCAATACAAATTTCATGTCTAAATAACGAATAACGCTGATATGAACAGTGCGGGGGTTTTGATCATATCACTGGTTTGCTGCTCATCTTTGTCAGCTCTCTAATCAGAATTGTTAGTTATATATTTTGCTCCTGCTGCCAGTTTAAGTTTTTAAGTGGGCAACAGTATCAGTCTGTATTTCTTATCTGTTTAGTCCTAAGCTCTCATAGACGTCTCCCAGCTCATTCCAATATAACACCCTCATGGTGATAAATAGTTATGACTTTTAGGTTTATTTTTGTTGAAGCTAGTGTGACATTACTTACACATCTTCATCCAGTCAGGTGAAAGTTTCTATTCAATGGGTTTTGTGCTTATGTGAAAACGGGAAATGCTGTCAGTATTGGCAAGGTTTTCTGGGGTTCAAATAGGTCACTGAACAGAAAATTACCAGCACTTTTGTATTTTTTTTTCTCTCAAATTTCTTGGTAACAGACGGTTTACCCCTTTAGAAAACAGCAACTTGTAACAATAAACCTTGATCTTAGCTCTTGAAAGCCATGTAGTTGAACTGACATTAATGTTATAACACATTTTATAACAATTCTTTCCTTCTTCTTTTTTTTCTTTCACAGAAACATGACCCTCCCACCAGCAGCATCCCTTGCCTACATTACAAGAAAATGAAGGAACAGGAGGAAAGGGAACTGAACGGGGAGGTGACACCTAATGCAGAGGAGTCTCCGGTCAAGCCCAGACAGGAGACTAATGGTGAAGACAAAGCAGGCAAGTCAGAAACTGCGGCTGAGGATAATGACGGCATCTCTGCGTCCATTCTGACTGACGGTGTCCCAGATGGAGAGGGTGTCACTGACAACATCCAGCAGGGTAAAGAGCCCCAGCCTTTTGACACTGCCCAAGGAGCCTTAGGACAAGTCAAGGCCAAGGTGGAGGTGTGCAAGGACGAGTCAATAGGTAAGGCCTTTCATAGTACACTGGCAATGATATAGACTTTTGAGGGGTCATCATGTTTTTGCTGCTGTAAGAACTTGTTATCAAGCTGCCATTGAACAATGTAACTTTGTAAAACCTCACAGAACTTGAAGAGTTTCGCCTGTACCTGGAAAAATGCTTTGACTTTGAACAAGTCACTGTAAAGAAGTTTCGTACCTGGGCTGAGCGAAGGCAGTTCAACAGAGACATGAAGAGGAAGCAGGCAGAGTCAGAGAGACCTATCCTACCAGCCAACCAGAAACTCATCACACTGTCAGTCCAAGATGCACCCACTAAGAAAGGTAAGTTATGTAGACTCAATATCACACAATTAATGTTTTTTTTTTTTTTGTTGTTGTTTTTTTTTTTTATTACTAGCAACCAATGAAACCATTAAAAACAGCAATACTTTTGTCCTAACAGATATTGCCAGTGTAGCTAAACACACCATACTGTGTGCCATATTTAATCTTTGTGATGAACATGGGAAGAATGGGTTTTTTTTGTTTTTTTTGTTTTTTTGCTTTAAGCCTGTAAAATTCACAAAGGTTGATCTCTTCCTTTTTGTCTGGACTCTTTAGCGGTGTAGTTAAAGGAACTTAATAATTGTCAACTCTACTGTATCTTTTTGCAAAAGGCTAGAAATCAAAATCAAGTGTCATCAATGTGTGATTTCAGATTTTCAGACTACAGTTGTTAAAGTTGTCCTTCAAGTGTATTGTTTGTTGATGCATTTCATTTTTTTTTTTTTTTTTTTAATTTTCTCAACAGAATTTGTCATCAACCCCAATGGAAAGTCTGAAGTTTGCATCTTGCACGAATATATGCAACGTGTCCTCAAGGTTCGACCTGTTTACAATTTCTTTGAATGTGGTAAGTAAATCTACTCTACTCTGTTCATTCTGTTGTCATCTACAATCCAGTGCACATTTGCATTATCCTCCTCTATAGTATGTGCATGTTTGTCCATGTGCACACACAACTATTGCTGTTACTACTTATAGATTAAAGTCACAAGTTTGTTCTTCTGTTTCCCTCACAGAGAACCCAAGTGAACCCTTTGGAGCATCAGTCATTATAGACGGAGTAACTTACGGCACAGGAACCGCAAGCAGTAAAAAACTTGCCAAGAATAAAGCTGGTAATTTAATAGTTTCCTCTCCCCTCACAGCTACTTGTCTTTGTGGCACCTTCCAATACATATTTTTTACCAGTTACAGTAGATAACCACACTGGTAAATTTGCATGTTGTAATACGTTCTGCACTCACTGGTAATCTGGTGTAAACTGCAGCTCGAGCCACACTGGAAATCCTCATCCCTGACTTTGTGAAGCAGACCTCGGAGGAGAAGCCTGTCGAGGGCGATGAACTGGAGGTACTTTTTTACTCCTGTTTGTGATTTTATTTTCTTACCCAGAACCATTTTCAGTGACGTGGAATAGATTAAGCTTAAGCTCATCACTGAAGGCACAAAACACGAGTTTTGACAACAAGCATTGTCAAAAAATAGAACGTTTTCCCTGAAAGTTAATGCATTTTTAAAATTAGAGATAACACATCAATGGTAACATTCAGTGTGCTGTCCCACAGTATTTTAATCATATCAGTATTGAAGACTCGAGGGTGTATGAGCTGACCAACAAAGCAGGACTACTTTCGCCATATCAGATTCTTCATGAGTGCCTTAAAAGGTAAGAAAACTCCAGCAAGAAAGTGACTGTTGATGAATATTTGTGCTTGTGCTTGTCCTTTTAAGCTTTTATCTGTGATGGATTGTTATTAGTAGTGTTAGTATTAAGTCATAAATGTGTCCATCTGTATGGCAGAGTGTAAAACACAAACTAGCAGAAGCCTAAACATTTACCAAGTTTAAGCATCTGCTAAGTGTCAAAAGTGTCAGATCGAAGATATTTTTTTTTGAAAAATTTCCTTTTTTCGTTTTATTTGCAGAAACCATGGAATGGGAGACACCAGCATTAAATTTGAGGTGATCCCCGGGAAAAACCAGAAGAGTGAATATGTGATGACATGTGGGAAACATACTGTGCGTGGCTGGTGTAAGTAGACCCTAATCTTCATCTAACAGACCTGTCACATCACATTGCGAGGTTTTGAAATGCTTCTTGAATTGTACAGCATGTAAACAGTTACAATTAATACTTCAACATGGCAAATACGTAATTAGATTGAGTGTTGGAGATGGAGTGATACTGATGCTTGATATACACCTTTTGACATTTCGTAAGTCATGTCAGTTCATTTTGGTAAAGTGTATGATAGAAGCAGCAAATCATTATGATGCCCATTTTCTTTTATTTTGTACATTCACTGTCTTTTCCAACAGGCAAGAACAAGAGGGTTGGCAAACAACTAGCATCTCAAAAGATTTTGCAGATGCTTCATCCCCACGTCAAGAACTGGGGCTCACTGCTGCGCATGTACGGCAGAGAGAGCAATAAGATGGTCAAGAAGGTAAATACCCTCTTCAGCTCACTATGAAGTGTCTGTGGTCATGGAAAAGTTTGGAAAATGTTTTGAAAAGGTTTGATTTTATGTTTGTGTTCAGTTTTAAGAATCTTAAGGGATAATGGTGGTTATGATGATGGTGTGTGCTGCTTGCCAATAAAATTGTCAACTGTAAAGCCCAAAAAGCAATTAAAATATCTTTTCAACATACAAGCCTCTCACTGCAGTTACTTGTATCTTTTAGCTTTTTGTCAGTAATTGCAAGGGCATTTTACTCACAACATTGATTTGGCATGTTGCTTACACAGTGCTGTCTGCCACTCCAGAGAGCAGCCAGTGAAATGTGAATACACCAGGACATGAATTCTTCAACAACTTATCTTTTGCAGGAGAGCTCGGACAAGAGTGTGATCGAGCTCCAGCAGTACGCCAAAAAGAACAAGCCAAACCTTCATATCTTGAACAAACTACAAGAAGAAATGAGGAAACTGGCCACACAGAGGGTGAGCAGTCTTCTGTTGTGCACAGAGCAGAAGATACAAAAAAGTCTGTAATTCTAGCTGCTGTGAAACATTTATCCACTATCCAACTATCAGTTTTTGTCAGTGTAGGACTTCTGGTATTAAGTTGAGGGTTGTCTGTTTTTGACATGTATTCATTCTTTCTTCCTTCACCACACACCTGAGGGGTTTACTTTATGTACATTGGAAATTCTGTCACCAGAGAGCTCATTGAAGGAAAGACGGGCTGGTAGTTTTAAAACAAATGGAGCACAGAACTTCATCTGGGCAAACAGTAAATCTACAGGGTCTCAATTAGTGGGAGTGAGATTCTCTGTTGCAGCTACACTTGATGCTGGAGGCTTAGAAGACCGGAGCATTATTATAAATAGTGTAGCTGTCAGTCCCTGTTTGACAAAACTACATTGTCCCTGCCAGGATTTGTATATTTCTGAATAACTGAGCTTTCTTTCTAAACCTATGCTTCATTTTATTGTGTTTCTACACCAGGAGGAAACCAGGAAGAAACCCAAGATGACCATAATGGAGTCTGCCCAGCCAGGGAGTGAACCTCTCTGCACTGTCGACGTTTAAGTCTCGGAATCACTGATGAACCACGGCACTGAAACCCAGTCACTGTCAAGACTCGTCACACACCATCCATCACTTAATTATGCATCACTAAGATCTAATGGCAATATAATTAGTCATTGACCAGGCCAGTAGAGCTGCTTGCTTCCTTCATTCACTTATATTGGATCAGCCGGTAGATATAAGGGTAGGACTAAATGCACTAACAGACCCTAGAGCAAATATCGTCTACCTCTCTAGATGCACCCTCACTATGGCACTAGGAAAAAAAGAAATCACCCAGGGTGCAGAGAAGTTAACATGACTTGACAACATACGAACCACATCAAAATAAAAATGCATGCTTCTTTGACTGCAAAAAGCCACTACTTTGTTGGTTTTGTTTTGAAGTGTTGTTTTCAACAGCCGCAACCTTATAGTACCAGCACCTCTTAGTTTTGTTTGTGCTTCAAGTATTTGAAAGGGACTACTAATACTTCTGTATTTATACCATTCATTTAATTGGGAAAACAAAGTTACTTGTACATGGGGTGTTTTAATAGTAGGTGTTACAGATATTTTGGGTGAAATACAAAATATGCTTTTGTTTATCCTCGGAATGGACAGTCACTGTCTTGGTTTGCACGATTAAAAACATGCGTTGTGAAGTGATCACTATCCAGAGCTATTGTCATGCACACGTGTCCTCTCAGACTTTTGTTGAGTGATCATGCTGTTGGTACGGAAATAACTACTTTTATCACTCCTTGTATTTGGAGGGAGTTGTTGCCTTTTTGTGTTGGGGGTTTTTTCTTTTTTTTTTTTTTTTTTTAGTTTGCTTTGGCAATACAACACATTAAAGTCCTGCTGGGGCCACTGAGTATTGTAATGTAAAAGATAGTTTCTTTTAGTTCTTGCCTAGCTTCTCTTAAACTACTAATGCCATGCACACCAACTAACCACTTGGTACATTTCAGTTGCATTTAATTTTTGGTGCCCTTATAAAGAAAATCCCGTCGGCTACATGTTGCCTTAGTTAATCCATTTCATGAAGGGCTCAGAGTATATACAGTACATTGGACCTATAACCCCCTTCAACAGGAAGTGGAAAGACCAAGCCCCCTTTACCTGATAAAGCATTTATTGTTTAGTCAGTTAGTATTTTTAAAGACGACAGCCTATAAAACAAACTTTAGGGAGAAATGCCTCCAGCATGTGCAGATTTTTAAGACTCATCTTAATGGATTGTGTATTTTGTTTGTGTACGTTTGCCATCGTAACACCCAATCATACTTTCTAACCATGAGTAGAAGACGTTTTTCAAAAGGCAGCCTTGCTAAAGTTAGTTGGCACACTGACATGAACAAAATGCGATCAAGTCATTGAGTCCAACACAAGCTGATGAAACTGTGTATACCAAAGCTTACATACAGTCTTATGCATTTTATAGAATACTTAATGTTGCTGCAAACTGTACAGTAGAAACATCTATAACAGGAAAAAACAGACATGTTACTTGCTGGAACAAAATAGAAACTGCTGTGCATTCTGTCAAGTATTTGGTCTGTGCTTTTTCTACAAAACATACACGTCACAGTTTAAACACCAGGCTGTTGTGATATTGTAGATTGCTTTAAGAATGCTCTTTGCCCTCTGTGCGTGTTGTCCTGCCAAGTGTGTGTCAGTGTGAGAAGACTGAAAAAAAAAAATACTGCTTTTTAGATGTGTTGCTGTTGAGTTGTACCAATGAATTGTTTGAGACGTTGCCTAGAAAATGAAGTATGTATTGCAACCTGAGCTCCATGACTTCTGTAATATTTGTTATGCAAAATAAAATGTCTTGACTAATGACTAGAAGGGATTTGTTTTATTCAGTCACTGATGAAAAAAGAGGAAGTTAACAAAAGGTGAATAGTTCCCACTTCTCATGTATTGTCTTGAATAACAGTTGAACAAAATATGTAGCACGGAAAACCGCCAGTTGAATCTAGCTAGGTAAGACATAGTCAACAAAAATTCAAACTAAACTAAAAAGGCATAGCAGGCAAAGGGACACAGTCCGTAAAGCAAGTAGAGTGTAATGCATACTGTAATAACAGCTTATATGAAGTACAAATTAATTCTGCATTATGACATACATACAAGGACTAAACTGGATGAGACACTGGTGACTGCTAAACTTATGTTTGGATGAATTGACCCTCTCAATGAGTAAGACCTTGCAGATACTTAAATGACAGAGGAAAGAGTGTTAGCATTAATTTGGAGGACTGAGTACGTGCATACATTTCTAGTATAGGAAGCCCATGCCACCTATAAAACTGTAGAGGGTCGGTGTCTAAGGCTAAGAACCTGTCTCTTCCCATTTGCCACTGTCCTGCTGCTGCTGCTGCTGCTGCTGGGAGTCATAGTCCACTCTCTCCAGCAGCAGAAGCATCTCAACGTGCATGGTCTGAGGGAACAGATCCACGGCCATGGCTCGCACTGGACGGAACGGTGCTCCATGAACTCTGTTGGATGGTGCTCTGCACAGACTAGAAAGGAATATACCAACATAGCATTTACCTTTTTATAGAACTGGTCACATGACAGTAGAACTATTTATTTTATTGTACTCACATGATCTATTAAAGCAAACGACTGCTGCTATAAAAACTGTCAAATTAAGATATTAAAACTCACTCAATGAAGTTGGTCATGGCTGCTTTTGCATTGCACGCCACATAAACCAGCCTCTTCAGGTGCTCCGCTCTCCGGATGGCAAGTATCACCTTAGAATCTGTGTTCGATTAAAACACGTGTTTTAATTATATGACACATCTTGTAGCAAGTTAAATTCATTTTCAAGTTTGTGGCTGTTTACTCACGTAATCCTGCCCTGGGTGGATCCACAATGGCTGTGAGGCTGGATGACACGAGAGAGCTGAGAATGTTGGGGAACACGTCCTCAGCTTTTCCACAGTAAAAGTCAATGTTACTTAGACCTTAAAATACAAAGGAAGGGTAAAGTGATCAAGAAACCAAAGGGAGGGGAAAAGTATACAATCATTACAGTTCATCACTCTGTACAAAGAATAAACAAAAACAAGATGATTCAGTTGGTTTAAAGGTTAAATTGTAAAACCAGAGCAACATGCAATCCATCGACTAAAACCAGCTTGTATTTACATTTTGTGTTAAAAAAGCATTTTTCTCCTCATGTTGAATTCCATTTAGGAGGGACTGTTTCTGTTTCTGTTTAACAGTTAAATGCCATTTTTGTGTGTACAATTATAGTGGCTTTTATGCTCTGTACACATGCTTAATGTTGAATGCTTCTAATTTTTAACAGAAAGAATTACAATACAAAATTGAACCTATTGGTACTTTCAGTCCTTTCACTATTCCAACATCAGATAATGAAATTTCACACTGTATATCACTGTCAGAGGTGTGATGTTATCTGGTGTCTTACCATTGAGCTTTGCATTAACTTTGGCATCCTCCACTGCTTCCTGGCACAGCTCGATCCCAATCACCCTCTTCACCCTCTGGAGACAAAAGTCAACTAGAATTACCTCCTTGTGGTTGTTTGCCTCGGCCAACCAATCATGGTCAATGAAGGAAATATGGTCACAATCTCCCCTACCTGAGCTACAGCATTGAATAATGTCCCGAGGTGTTTTGGCTGATTATGATGTCATAGTGAAGCTGACCTTTTATTGTCAAGAAATGATGAAGTGATGGCATTTTATATCCAGTGGGACATTGGTGTTAAATTGTGTCATAATTAGAGTATGAATTCATGACTTTTTGGCCAAAATGGGCATTCCTGATATATCAAACCAAACTTTAATCAGTTCATCTTAAGAGTCCAAGTGAATTTTTGTGCCAAATTTGAAAAAATTCCTTTAAGGGGTTACTGTGATATTGTGTTCACGAGAATGGGACCGACAAGCCAAGAACATAATGCCTCAGTCTCCTGTTGTCACCGGCGCAGAGGCATAAAACTCAGAAAGTCCATTTTCATTCCCAAACAAATATGACATTAAAAAGGGTCATCGCTCAATTTGGCAACACCCATTACTTTGCCATTAACTGTTACATGCTCGACTTTCTTCACCAGATAGCTATTGACAGCGAGTCTATTTTTCCCTGTTTGCTGACGGGTAACACGTAACAGGTTTGTAAGGTGATAATATGTCTGTCTGTTTTGGTTATCACATGTTCTCACTGATACAGACAGCAAACATTACCTTAGCCAGAGAGATGCCAATGGTTCCTGTCCCGCAGCACACATCCAGCACTGTGCTGTCCTGATCCAGCTGGGCCCACTCGCCCACAGCGGAGTACAGCACCTCTGCAGCGCCTGTATTCACCTGCCAGGTAACACAGACACAGTGAACACTTGTGCACTTTGTGTATGGAGGATTTACAGCTGTGTCACAAAGATAGAAACCACAGCTGGAACCATCATTTATTTGTGTTGTGAAAGAAAATACACAACTTGAAAAATAAACACAACGTATCAGTAAATTCATAGTTTTGAAGCCACATTGAAAAAAATATAAGGCATTTTTGATTTATAAATTAATTTAGTACGAATTTACTGGATAAACAGAGTGTGTGGAGGTGGAACTCTTGAAGGTAAATCAAGCCTCCTCCTCACCTGGAAGAAGGAATGAGGGGAGATTCTGAATTTTAGACCCAGCATTTCTTCATGAATGCAGTTCTCTCCAGCCACCAGCTCACAGGGCAAGTCCTCTGGGTTAGGAGATTTCCTTCACAGTCAAAAACACAACAAGTTTAGCTGAATGAATTGTATAATTGTGATGACTGTCAGTCATTAAATGTGTTTTCTCTTACCTTTGACCCTCTCTAACAAAGTACAGAGAGGTCACGCCGCTGTCTTTCCCCTCTCCTTCTAAAAAGTACTTCTTCATGGAGCTTTTTAGAGTGTTGAGTTCCTCTTCTTCAAGTTTCTAGGAGTCATTGAACAAGTAAAAGAGGTCAAAGGGTGAAATCCAACAATCTGCGATTCCATTTAAAAATAAAATCCGACACAGTTGCAGTGAGAACATTTCATCACCTGTGGGTTGAAGAACACCATAGCCATGGCTTGTTTGGTCCTCGTAGTCCGTACAGTCAGCTGCTTCCAGTGTCCTTCATATGTCTCTGGACTGTACACGGAGTATGGGGTTGTCCTGTTTGCAAAATAATAATGAGATTGAATGTAACAGAGGAAATATGTGAATGAAAACTTTACATTCTTACAACATATCTTAAAGACATGTATGTGAAGTAATAATACCTGATGAATTTCTGAAACTCGCTGACGACTCTCTTGGCCTCGGCTGAGACATGGCACGACTCGGACGGCCCAACCACCGCACAGGAACCTCCTTTGTATTTCCCCAGACGGAAACCGATGGTCTTGTCCTCACCATCTGCTCCCACTGAGATGAGGAACTCACACTTGTTTCTGTACTCTGTCTGCCATGATACAGATGGGATTAGGGGGATATTAGACACTACTGTATTTCAAGGTATGAGACAAATGAAATTCTTACCAAGATAGAAACATTATGAAACTCTAAAACAATGTATGAACAAAGGCACTGACAGCACTTAATAAAACTGAGTTATTGTACTTTTCTATACAATGATATACGATAGCCTTGACACAGTGAAAGCATCAAAGCTGAAACAATTAGCTGATTAATCAAGTAGTTGGTTAACAGAAAATTAAATCAGCAGCATTTTGACAACTAATTAATCATTAAAGTGTGTTGAAGAAAAAAAATCAAACAAACATTCTCTGATTTCACCTTCTCAAATCTGATGATTTGCTGCTTTTCTCTTTGTTATATCATTGTAAATGAACTATCTTTGGGTTTTGAACTGTTGGTCAGATAAGACAATATGAAGAAAGCTCCTTGGGAAAATATTACATTTTTTTTACCATTTTCTGGCATAACTTAACTTAACTAGACAATTGGATGAGATCATGAAAACAGGACCGGGCAATATGGCCTATAAATAATATTGCGATATTTGTAGGCTGATGTTTAAAAGTATGTATGTCATATGTGGATCTCTGTGAGATGAAAGCTGAGTTAGACCAGAAATCTATAAATATACCTGTGTAGGAGATGGTTTAATGGCTTCCAGGGGACAACACATTTTGTTGTATTTCCCTTTCTGTGCAAACAGCCATGGCAGCATGGCTTTGTTGGTACTTCCAATCTCTCTGAAAAGGACACAGTGTGGTATTCACTTTGAAAAACATTTCTTTAAACTGTATGATGTGGATATTTTCCATTGAAAAACAAGATTGTAAAACCAGGCTATTAAATTCAGTAAACAACAGGAGCTTCCACAAAAAAAGCATGGTATTGGCCTCCAGTAACACATATTGATCAATATCTAGTGTTCCTGTCAAACAATGCCTGCAGTTGATATTGTGTGACTACATATAAATGACACCACCTACTTGGCCAGTGTCTGCAGAACCCCCACCACCACCTGCTCCTTCCTCCTCAGCTGCTCCTCATAAGGCACGTTCCACAGAGGAGTCACCACATTGGCTATCTGCACACTGAGTGGCTCCTCTTCCTGGTCCCCCTCTGCTCGCTTGGATGGGGGCTGCCCTCCTGCGCCCTCTCCCTCCTCCTGCTTCCTCTTCCTCAGGATGGGGTCTACTTTGGGTTTGGCCAGCTTGACGCTCAGCACCTGGCCCTTCCACTGCATGCCATGCACCATTTTCATAGCCTTGTCACGCTCCTCCTCATTCTTAAAGGTGACGAAAGCAAAAGTCTGCCTGCCAAACAGCTTGATTTTGTGCGGGTTGAGGCTGTGCTTGGCCAGGAACTTCTTCAGGTCGTTGAAGCCGACGAACTTGGGCAGATTCCTGATCTCCACTTTGAAGATCTCGGATGTGAAGAGGTCCTCTTTGATGTAGCGGTACATGCTGGGGTCAGAGGCCGCCTCACTCTCATCTTCAGCTTTGGCATCAGACTTTACATCCTCATTGCCTGAGCCCTGTGGGGGGTTCTCCTCCTTTGAGGGTGGTGTATCAGCCACTGAGCTGCTACTAACATCTGCCATCCCTCTGCTGGGTAGTAAAACAATCCAGTTAACAGACTGTGATCTTATGTTCAGAAAGATACCTGGAAAAAAGTTCTGTCAATCTCACTAGACACTTTTTTGTGTCTTTCTAACAACTTGTCACGGTTTAGGAGACTTTGTAACTCTATAAAAAATCGTCATAGTTCATTTCAAAACCCATTTGTAACGGTGAAAATGAAAAAAAGAAAACAGATGCTGGAGCGCTAAAATTTTAAAATAGCGACATGTACGTGCATTAATTGATTTAAAGACTCGAGTTTTGGCTGTATGTTACACTAGAAGACAAAATACAGAGGTATCTAGTGTTACATATGTTTGCTAAAAGCTGAGATGGAAATTATTCACTTAAGTCACGCTCTTTCTTCACTAGAGAAAACACTTTGTCACTAATATCTGTTTAATACCCGATTCTTTATATATCTATATATTTTCCTATCCTGATAAATAGTAGCCACGGCCACATTAAGTGGAAGTCCACATGTCTTTCATGAGCCTTACCTCTTCACATATACTTTCGATTCCACTTCTCACTCGAACGCTCAGGGCGCTGCCATGTTGATTTAACCACGTGCAGCTTGAACTTTGAACTTTTTTAAAGTGGTAGTCGACATTTCAGGGCTCGAGAGTCATGTACATTTTGTCTCATTTTTAATTTTTTGAAAAGGCTCCTGGTTACTTTCTAGATACTCGAATATAATGTGAAACGATTCATTAAAACTATGATTGAATGGATCTCTGGTTCCCATTCAATCTTAATTCGCTCAAGGTATTATTATTTTAAATTTTGTAATTTGTTCCCAAGAGGAAATGTGTCCTGCAGCCAAGTGAAACACAAAACACACACAATCTTGAGAATAACATACACCAAAGATAATGAATATATATCAAATATACAATATGTAAAACATATGCCACAAAACCACAAAGCAACTTCACATAAAACAATGTAATTACAGCTCCAAAACCAAGTTCCTCTTTATAAAGTCCACAAATAACAAGTCACATTGAGTCCTTATACACATTAAACAGACCATTAAATATCAATTATTTTACTTACACCTATGATTTTCCTGCTATTGCATATCAAAATGTCTATTTTGAAAAGGGTCTACTGTAAGGTCTTAATATCTAGATGAAGGCCTTTATTACTAAAACTTATACTGTGTTATGTGCAAATGCTGCATTTTACCTGATGCACTAGTTAGGTTACTAATTACGAAGTAATGCATACAGTGCATAATGCAGAGAGCATGTGAAGAGGTCCATAAAGGCTCACAGTTCATTTTAATATTAAAAATCACAACACACATTTCTTTGTTGCATGACAGTACTTGTGTTCAGGCTTTGCTTATTTGATTATGCTGATTCCGTTTGACTTATTGTTTTCTCGTGGTTAGAATTATTAATAAATTTAATTTCTTATACTTTATTCTTCAGTACAATAAGTCCTCTTTATATATGATTTTTCTAGCAGATACTGTAGAAGTTATCACATTTTTCTTATTGATATAACGTGTAAAAGAGAAACAGCATTGTTTAGTTTGACACAGACAGTCCCAGCCCAGAGAGAGGCGGTGCGCGCTGTCATACTGTGGGCGCGGGCATGCGTAGGAAATTCGGCGCGCGAAAGCTGTAGCAGGAAGTGAGTGTAGCTGAAGGGAAACGGCGGCCAGTTTGGGATTTGAATCTATCAAACTACTTCCATAATCTACAAACATCTACATTAATATGGCAGACCCGAAGGTGAGGTCACACATTTTAGGTCATCTAATGCGTTATGCCCGCTTTGAAATCGGAATTTAGTGAAAATCGTTGTATTTAACGTGTCATAATTCGTCAAAGTTTGTCAAGGGAGCTGCGAGCCAGAAATGCCGACAATGATGTTGTCTCTCGTGATGCTAGAAAAGCTAATCGACGTGTTTGCAAGGCTGTAAGATTTAACGACAACCCCAGAAGTTTCTGACAGGCAGCTAGAAATGTCCAGTGTGTCCAGTGTGAGATTTTATACTCTTAGGCTTTTCCTCAGAGTTAACGTTGATTCGCTCAAAAGTACTCACGCATGTTAGCATTAGCCTCTTATTCTGATCGTAAACGAGGAAGCCTACAGACACAATCCTGTTAAGTTCACCAAACTATTGCAGTCGTCAGTCGTTTGAACAGGGCATGTTACAATCTGCGTGCAACCTGCTGACCAAAGACAATAAGGTTAGCTAGGTCCCCTGCCTTTGTCTGCCAAGCACAACAGTTGCTAACATTAGCCAACTAATGTTAGCTGTATTAGCAGGGCGCTGGAGACAGTCACTCCGTATTCTCGGGCAGTTAACAGTAACACGTTTAACATTGAATGGAGTTCTAGTTACTCCAGAAATAATGTCACTGCAGGTCATTTTAATTTTTCTGTGGTATTAGTCAGTGACACACCGTGGTGCGAAAAGCCCAACCATTAGGTCTCGACTAGCCTGCTAGTGAAAGGCCTCGTTGACGAGCTAGGTAACTTCACAATGAGTTGTCTCAGGAAAACAAAGTTGAACAACTATTTGTTCACATTACGGAAGAAAAATGTAACTCCATCAAGACCAAAATCTTTATATATCCACCTGCTCATTCAAGCCAGCAACCTAATTAATTGAATTACACAGCTATTGCGTTGTCTTTAATGTCAATAGCAGTATTACAGCTTACCTCTGATAGCTAAGTCGCAAAGACTTCAGCGTTACATTATGATACTGCTAACTGGCTATAAGATCAGAAGCGTACTAAGCTGGAAGTACATTTGCCGACTTGAAGAAAAGGAAAATCTCCCGCGTATGCTCAGTCTCGTTTTCGCTAAATGATGCTGCATATTACTGTTCACAAAGGGCTCGTCACGCGTTGTCACTGGTCATGAAACTGCACACTTTTAAAGGATAATTTTAGCCATCTTTGTTTTCAGTTATTCTTGCATGAAGAATATGTGTTCTAGCCACATTAGCAATGTGTATTTAATCTTACACACATCAATGTGAGAACATGTAACACCAAATTGCATTAAAGATGCTTGGCTCAGCAACAGTGGTTTACAAAAGGCTTTGCCAGTTCCCCCTACAAAAGCTATACTTAACCAATGAGCTCTTAAATCCCTCTATTGAAGCATTCGTGGCCTGTTGGTCAGTCGTCAGAAGTCAGTTTGTTCCAGAGAGTTTGAAGAGTCACTCTGACCTATACCACATGCCTAATTACTTTAAACATACTCTGAATGTTTGACATAAATAAGTGGATTTATTTCTTTGACTTAACTCATTCCCTGCTTTTCCTCTTAGGACCAGGAGGACCACGATACCACTGCAGATAATGCAGAGGACTCCAATCATGATCCCCACTTTGAGCCCATTGTGTCCCTTCCTGAACAAGATGTGAAAACATTAGAAGAGGATGAGGAGGAACTTTTCAAAATGTAATTTCCTTTCCTCTAATAGTCTTCTTTTGTTCACTCATTTTATTTGTCATACAAATGTTATCTAATATTAATTTAGCTGGTCAGCATGTGACTATTTGCTAAGCTAGTGCATTGGTATCTTCATGTAGTATACTGTTGTTTTCCCAGGCGGGCTAAACTATATCGTTTTGCCTCTGAGAACGACCCCCCTGAGTGGAAGGAGAGGGGAACTGGTGATGTCAAGCTGCTGAAACACAAAGAGAAGGGCACAATCCGCCTCCTGATGAGGAGAGACCGGACCTTGAAGATTTGTGCCAATCATCACAGTGAGTCAAGTTTGCAGATATAATTGTTGTTTGATGTCATTGTACAACATAGTATTATAGAGAAAGAAAATAAATATTAATCTCTTATAATAACATAAAAAAGCCAATGTATGACAAACGGCACTATATATTGTATGGCAAAGTGTAGTGCACATACAATTTAAGTCATACCTATATATGCCTATCTATGTGTGTTGTGGGCTTCTTTCTATAGCAAAGCCTTATATGTTTTCTGAAGTACATATTTGTATTTGCATTGCAAGTACTCAAACTATGATGGATATGTTACCAGTTGACTTAGGACTCCTTACAGTTTTACTATATTTGTGTTCCCCTAAACAAATTCAAGTGGAGATCAGGACAAATGTAAAGAGACTGTCAAAAGTCTAAACTGTTTTTTCCCCTGAGTGTAATAAAGATGGACAAGTAGCTCTGGTAAGGAGAAGAGTGGTGGTGCCGCCAATCTAATCAACTTGTTTTGATTATAGAAATAGCCATTTGCAAAAACTAAAATGTGTAATACTTATCCTACAGTGTATATGACTATATATTAACATTGGCCTCTCTCTTGTGAACTTTAGTTATGCCTATGATGGAGCTGAAGCCCAACGCTGGCAGTGACAGGGCGTGGGTGTGGAACACACTAGCAGATTATGCTGATGAATGCCCCAAACCTGAACTCCTGGCGATACGCTTTTTAAATGCAGAAAGTAAGTATTTCTTACATCCAATCCAATATTACACTTAAAAGGTTGCCCAGGTAGTGTTTGATTTGGATTCTGCTGTGATCATTCTGCATAGACAAACACCTGTGAGAATCTCATTTTCTAAACTTTGGGTAACAGCATCCAGCAGCTATTTTTTTTACTGGTGTCCATTTTGTTTTTTTTAATCATTTGTTAATGCAGCACGATTAAGCAGCCCATCATACAACAGCTTTGTGATGTGAGTATATACTAACTCTCTGTTCTGTTTACAGATGCTCAGAAGTTCAAGGTGAAGTTTGATGAGTGCAAGGAGGAGGTCAGAAAAAATCTAGAGGGAACAGGTACATAAAACTTAAACTAAAGGAATTTTCTTCATGAAAGTATATATGTATTATGGGATGCATGTGAGATGAAATATGATCCCCAACAAACATGGTTCTGTCTATTCACAAATTCGTCATGTCTAATTACTTTAGTCATTCATCACAGTCTGCACTACTTCAGCAATGAGTGTGTTGGTTTACATGGAGTTGAAACATGCCAATATTCCATTGTTGTACTCAGGTTTGACTGGTGTCTATTGCAACCTGTTTTAAGTTGAATATAAACTAGGTGATGATGCAGACACACTCTGTTCTTTGCTGCTACCTCCAGCCTCGGACTTTTTCTGTCTGCTACATGAACATGCAGAATGTAACACTTAACTGGCTTTTTAAAAGGCTGGTGTCATTATGTTCTGCTACATGACAGTTCAGATTTTCTTTTTTACAATATTATTTTCTAGTCTAATCACAGCGGCAAAGAGATGGAATATTCTTGAGTTAGTGAGTTGAGATGCAAAGTGAAAGTAACAAGTGTTTTCTCTGAAGACAAACGGGCATCCCAGGCAGGCTGAAGACATGCAACTGACTGTAAAAACTTCCTAGCTTTAGTTGATTTTAGTTGATCATTTCACTGTTTTGCCACAGGCGACACTGAGAGCGCAAACAAGGTGGCAGAGAAGCTGGAGGAGCTCTCCGTAAAAGACAAGGCATCAGAAGAAAAGAAGGAAGAGGACAAAAACGAGAAGAAAGAAGATGAGAAAAAGGAGGTGAAGGCTGAGGAGAAGAATTGAGAACCAAGAACTTGCTTTGCTGATCTTCAATTTATCAGTTTTTCCTCTTTTTCTACAATAGACTCTGAATGAACTGAATTTGGACACTTGCATATTATTAGTTTTTTTTATTCTGTTTTGCCTCAAGATCACAAGTCCTTGATGCCACTGTGGAGAAAAAAAATACAAGATAGAGAATTTATGAAAAAAAGAAGCCCTTTCCCTCCCATCCCTCACCCTCTTTGCACCGTGGAATGCCACACTTTCCATCCTTGTCATCTACAGTTCAATGTTACATTTGAGAAACTGTGAAAAGAGGCTTGTGATAGTGATAATTCCCACATTGGGGTATTTTTTTTTGTTTTGTTATTCTGAAGCAGAGTTTGTTTGTAGGGGGAGAGGATAATGTAGCCTGCTTATTAGCAGCACAGGGTCAGGGACCAGGCATTATGGAGGTGCATTATAAATATAAAATCCCATGATTCATCTCGGTGGGCCTTCTTACCCTGTCCACTGTCTATGCTTCCACTGTTAGAAACAGCAAGTAAGATGAAGACTTCTCAGTGGATGCCTTGTAGAAATAGTTCTGTCTGGGTTCCTTCTTTCATCAGTTCTGTTGGGAACTGACTAGAAGAGGAATCCCCTCCGGACAGTTCAGGGGCATCAGATGCATGCTGCAGATCGCAGTGTCCACTGATAGCTGACTGATAGGAGATCAGATGCACTTAGCTAAGCATTTCCTTTTTTTCCTTTTTTTGTTTTAAATACCTGAAAACCATAAAGTCCAAAGTGAACGGTTCATCAGAGTTTGGTGCAGCTACGCTCTGACTTAAGTTCCTCACCAGGAAACCGAGTTTGTATTCTTTAGATCATAACATTCCCAAACTTTAAAGCATGTAGAGTATATGTAACAGAGTGTGCCCTATCTGATCTGTGTGCTCACCACCCTCTCCTTTTCTTTCCACTAATTAAGTTCTTAACCTTGCCTCTAAAGTGCATCTAAGTGCCAGTGCATCTGTAAATACATGTATATGGATGAAATGTTGCTTTTCATTTGCACTCAAATGATTTGAAATGTTTCCTCCACCTTCGAATAAAAGCTGTCAAAGACCACATGTTTGCATTCATATAAAGATCACTTCTTTCCTGGGATAGCTAATGATCAAATGTGCAGTCATGAATAATGCTGCTTATGTATTAAAACAAGACTGTGGAGGGTTGTACGAGTTGAAACAAGATCAGACTACCAATCCTGCATTGATTTTTTGAATTAATTTTGAGGATTGTTACATAATAGCTGTGGTAAGACAAACTTAATCAATGTTGTGCAAGAGTTCCTCATTCTACCTTTTCATTAACAAGAAACAACCTCATTCACTCAAAGAGATGGAAACTTTATTTACTCTGCTCAGGTCATTGGGAAATATTTCCTCTTCACAAAAATAGGAACGCATGTACATTTATAGTATATTCTATATTTTGATACATTTTCTATTTGAGTTTCAGAAAACAAAAATCACCTCGTGATAGAACAGATTCATTGCTCACTGTCAGGAATGGTCCCTGACCTGCAGTGATGTCCATCCCTAAAACAAGAACATTGGACTAATGGCAGTCATCTTAAAGAGGAATGACATCGACAGTGCTTTTGATATGTGGTCAAACGGGGGTCTGAAAATCATCATAGACTGGGGTATGCTCGGGCAACTCAGCATCTAACAGTCTACTCAGGTATTTCAAGATGCTCCTGTTAGCTGTTTCACTGACACTCATTAGATTTGCCATAAAAGTAGCCCTGTGTACCACAGCCTCGGATCAGAAACAGTTATCAACAATTCAGAAATACATGACTTGAATAGAGTATCCTGTGTTACTTCACATCACTGTGTTCATGGTAAGGCAGCTGGGTGAGACCTTGAAAGGGAGATCATACTAATCAGAAGGTTGTAACTACAGCCAGTTTCGGTAACATCCAACCTCGTCAGAAAGCAAGACTCCACCACAGCTACCAGCCTATACACTGATCTCTGGAGAAAGGAAACTATGAATATATCAGAAAGCAGGAAAAAAAAAATCCTGTAAAAAGTAATGTAATTTCATAATTAAGATGAACAGGTATCACTTTGTACATTGGCTGTCCTTCCACAACTTTCTGTTGTCAAAATTTTAAAGTCTACCCAGAGTTATGTCACTCCTGCCGTTTGTTGCTCAATAGAAAACGTTGATTTTCCCTTAATGTACAACAATGTTTTAACCAGCCACATTTCATTGTGCATGAAATCGCTTTTCCTCTCCAAAGGCATCTGGTTTATTCTTAATGCAAATGTAGCGGGACCAAATCTACTGCTTAACATCAAAGTCAATTCTGACATGTTTCAACATATTCAGTTGGTGCAAAATATTAATAAAAATCTTCAACTTAGATATTATCAGTTCATTTTTTTATGGTCAAAAGTAATAAGTGTTATCATACTTTTTTTTTAATTAACAGCAAAAAAACAAACAAAAAAAGTTCCATTGTAAGTCTGAGTGGCGCATAATACTGAAGCTGTACCAGACAGCTGCTGCACATAGTAGCGATGTCACCTGTTTGCTGTCTTTGAGAAATAAGGGGGGTGTGTCGCCACTTTTGGCACTGAAATCTCAAGGCTGCTTCTACTGAAAGCCCAATCCTTCACTTGTGTACAGCACTTGTTGGCAGTGCAGTGTGGACCATGTGACTGTTCACTAGTCAAAGATGGTGACTTTAATATTTCACTTCCTCAAAATCACATATCAGCTAATTACATTTCATCTTTCTTTTTTATTTTTTTTACACTGCAAGGTAGAACAAGCTATATTTACTTTATAGATTTTACCCATTATTCATGATCTCATTTATTTATATGTATATATAATTTATCAACAAAAAAAACTCCACTCAAAATAAAACATCCATTCCAGGGTTAAGTATCTGTATAAAAAAGATGTATCAAACATAGTTTTTTGAAAGGTTGGGTATATAAAAAGGAAACAAACCGATTAAAAAAAAAACTACAAAATAATGAATGGGTGACCAGTTATCTTCATTTTACCACATGGGACAATGGCTTGTTTTTCTTCACCCTTCGAATCCTATGATTATAACACAAACATAAATTACAAACAAAACACATTAACAGAAAAGTTGTTTTGGTAGTGCAAGGCTGGACTCGCTCTGAACTATGTGAGAACCGTTGGGATGAGGTATTCTGATCTTTCAGAGCTCACATGTATCAGCCCAGCTCTTGTGTCATGGATTATGTTGAACTCACCTAACTGAACTTGACTAAAACAAACAGAAGCTTATGATGATGAACTGCACCTTCATGAAGGGAATAAAGGGGGCTAAGCTATACTCAAGCCCTAAATATCTGCACTAGACTGAGACAAAGAAGCAGACATTCATGATTCATGAATTCATATCGCCTAACATCTCCGCTGCTTGCATTCATTCCTGAGAAAATTCTTTTTCACAAAGATGTAGTTGCAGTTTGTTTTACTTTGAATTAAAAGCAAAGCCTTTCTCAATGAATTTGGAATGCAACCACCAGACATGATCCGATGAAATTCCCCTCGATATCCCCTCTCCCAGCTCCTCGTCTCACTCGGGTTGCGTTTCCTGTACTCAGGTTAAACCTAACTGATCTGTCCTCCATCACTTCCCAAAGCTGTACGGCTCCACCACATATGCTGGAGATGACATGAGCAGAACGGGTTAATGTGAAGCACCTTGACTTCTTGAGGTGAATTGACATTAATCTCTTCTCACAGAAGTCCACAGCGAGGATGTCAGTGTTTGATTCGTCTGTAGTGTTTTTGTTTCCGTCAGCGCTTCTTGGAGCAAAGTTTGTGTGACATTTTCAACAACGTACGCTTCGTGACCACATCTGAGAGACAACAGTAATAACATTTGACGATCTTGTTGGACGGTCCACTCTTACAACCAAGATGATGAGCCACAAAGATGTTTAGGACAAGACACTCCTCACACATACAGTACAGACTACAGCGGTATCAACTGACAACCAATCCCTCAGGTACAAACACACACGGGCATTTGGCTAGACAGACCTACACAGGAGCAGACAGAGCCTCTGATTGGACATTGAGTCCAAAAACAGGCAGCGCTGTGTGCCCCCGACTGGTCGTTATCTAGACTTCAAAAGAAATAAGAGGAGACAATCTCTTTGTAGCAGGGTGGCCGTTGTTGTTGGAGGTGGATGCAGTGTCCCTGCTCACACAGATATCTCATACGTGGTGCCTCCTACGCCTGTCACCTTTTTGACGTTACTGTGGCGACTGGGGCTGAGGGTGACACCCTGGGTGCTGGGGTGGCAGTCCATCTGCCCATTAACTTTCATGGCCTCTCTGAATGGAAAGACAAGAAGAAAAAGAGAATATGATTCAATACAAAGAGCCAAAGAGATTCAACACAAACCAAACAGAGCGTTGTGGCGACATGCAAATTAGATGTCTGGAGTATGACAACTTTAAAATCACAAAAACAGACTTGCAGTATGGAGGATTACTTGAAAGTTGTTAGTGAAGACAAAGGCTTGGAAATGTTAGACCAGTAGGTGAAAAGCATGCAAAAGAAAAAGAAGTGAGAGGAGTCACACAACTTTATTCATCTGACATTTGTGAAACGATACAAAAAAAAAACATTTCTAGAAAGGCAAACGTATATCAGAACAGAACATGTAAGAAGTCACACCAGACAGAACTCATGAATAAATGGACATAACAGTTAAACATGTACCATACACCATATACAAATGCTACACGTTGCCTCAGTTAGGACTAGTACACTAGTGTCCATGAATTGCTGGCTGCGGAGCTTGGTTTCCAGTGGGAATACATTTAATTCCCACCAGTCCCCATTGGCTCCCTTTGCATGCAGTCCCACAGGGGTAACATTAGGATTCATACCTTGGGCCCCCCAGACGAGGTGAGTCTGTCCTCTCAAGGGCACTGATGTAGGAGAGTTTCTGATGAGAGTAGGAGGGGGATCGGGGCATAGCAGGGGAGTGGGGCTGGTGAGCCGGGGAGCGATAGGGGCCCTCAAGGCCTGAGGCCCTGGTCTGGCTGCTGTTAGAGCTACTGTGATCTGTGTGCAAGGAGGTGGATGAAGTCCTAGGGGCGCGGCCCAGCGTGGAGCCGGCATGGCGCAACACAGGGGTTCGCTGGCCGTAGCTCACCACCCCGACCCCCATCAGGTTGTCCCTGGAGCCTCCATAGGCTGGGGGTGTTGGGCCTCTGGAGCCGGGGCCGCGAGGCCCATCTGGATAGCAAGCATTGGGGGGTAGGCCATAGCCGCCATCAAACATGCCAGAGTCCTGGGCATAAATGTGGGTCTGGGAGCGCCCGTGCAGCATCTGCCGCTTCTCCCTCTCCTCCATCTCCTTTCGCTCCTGGATGGAGGCCATGATGGTCTGGGAGAGGTTGTCATAGCGCACCGGGGATGGGTCCCTGTCCCTAAGGTGAGGGGATTGCCTGCCCACTCCTCTGGGTGGCATCACTGGACTGTAGGCAGGGGCAACCTGCTGCCTCTGCATTTCAGGTTCCCGGATGTGGCACATTTTGGTGGGCAGGTAGGGCGAGTGGAACCCCATGGTGGGCATACCACGATGGGCCATGCACTCGCTGGCAGTGGCTGGGGAGATGCTGGGGTTTAGCAGGCTGTCATAGGACAGGCTACCATTACGGTTGGAGAGCGTGTTGGGTGAGAAGACACTCTTGTAGGGGGTGGATGTTACTGTATGCGGATGCAGGGCCGGGAGCTGGCCTTTCTCCGGTCGGCGGTGACCCTGCTTCAGGCTGAGAGAGCGAGAGTTGATGGGGTCAGAGTCCAGCTGGAGGGGAGAGGACTGGAAAGTTCGGTGGAGGGGAGCATTGGTGTACTCTGGCAGGTCCAGGTTGGGCTCAGATCGGTAGTCGTGACCACGAACACCCTCTTCCAAGATGGCTGATGTTTTCCGGTCATCTGGCATGATAATCTGAGAACAAACAGCAGAGTAACATGTCAAAACATCTCTGATTGAAGTCCTTTAACAGCTGCTACTGAACCTTTTTGTGGTAGAACTCCTGGTTATTTAGGTGGAGCTACAAAAAATAGTGTTATAATAACAATACTGCATTAAGAATGTACTTCACACATCAGTACCAAACATATCCTGTCTTACCTTCTCTCCGGCAGTGTGGTAGTGGACTTTCGGCATGGTGCCAAAGGACGGCCTGAATTTGTACATGGCTGGAGTGGAGGGGTGGGTTTTACCAGAAAGGGAACCATCTGCAACACACACAGAAAGAAAACCAGAGTCAACACTGTAAAGATAATAGAAATGACACTATTATACCAGCTCTAGTTGAAAGTAATTTCTGGGAGAAAACAGACATCAGAGCTGAATTCTATTATCAGAGTAAAGAGGCTGAAGCGATCGAGTTCTTGATACCCACACCATCACCATCATTCCTACTGAATGAAAATGAACTGGAGTAGCTGGGTAGTCGGACAGTAAGAGTCTATTTAGTAACTGATGTGTAACATGTGATTGCTAAAACAGCCAGCTGTCCATCCTTGACAAACTACTTAAATCAAGCCCAAAGGTACTTCTAAGCAAGCAGTTGCCCCTGTGCGTTGGTGCATGAGTGTCTCTGAGGGAGATGTAAAGAACTCTTACTTCCACTAATTATGAGTCCTCTAAACTGCTTTTACAAAGGGAGGTAATTTGTTTACACCAGATGCAGTATTTTGAGGTACCACCAGGCAGCAGTAGTGCTCCATGGAGGAGCAGGGAGTGATCACTCCCTGACATAATGCACCATGACACTGGAGATCCTCTGGTCAGAACCTGCTGCTTTAGGTTCACACTATATATTCCTGACACTCCATACTATTGAATGCAACAGTATAAGGAACACATTAGCACTGGCTAACACCACTAGCTGCTAAACTAACACCCCAAACAGATCCTTCACAGTTTCTAATTTACACGGATGACTCGCAGAGGCAGTCAGTGATTTTTTACTTTAAGAGTTCTGATTCTAGACTAAATTCCTTTCCCATATCTCCATTTTGCAGAGCTCCATTGCTACACACCACCAGCAAAAAGAGGTGATTCATGTCGCAATGATTCAATCTGAAATTTATCTTTTTTACCACAAATCTGATGCTGATTCAGTAAACAGGGCTTGCCTCCTCGCTACAAATCACCCCTGTTCTCTGGCCTGGCATAAAAAAAGGCCATCGCCCTGCCACTGGGACAGTCATTTATCAGGCTGAACTAGCAGCAAGTCACACACTGGGACACTGGTGATCTAAAGGGGGAGCTTGGGGAATTGCCATTTGGTGCAGCCTTGACAGGGAAGAGAAATGGGATTGATGAAGACTGTCAGGAGAGAGAGAGAGGAGGTGAACACAGCGAGGCTGTGTTTCTGTGTTTCTTACCTTCACTGGAGGTCAGCTGGCTCTTCAGCTGGTTGTACCTGTCAGCTTTAGGTGGCAGCGGCGGCTGGGTTTCTTTGTCATCCAGGCCATCCAGGCTGCTTTTGGACTACAGGGAGTAGAGCAGGGTGTTAAAAGTATCCGGAACAGGTGGGGGAACAGCAGATGAAACAGAGAAGAGCATGTGTTTCTGTTAGGGATGAACCAATACAAGTCACACAGGAGGTTGTAGGGTAGTAGAGCTGCACCAGGCAGCTGCTCTACTTGATCTTAAATGTATTCTTTTTAGTGGCCAATGGAGTGCAAATGGTGAAAGAAAGTTATGTCAGAGTTGGATTGAAATGTGAGAGATATTAGAGAGAGAATAGATCATTATTTGTTCATCTTAAAGGAGTACTCCACTGATTTAGCCTTGAACTTCTGCACTGTCCGACTGATTGAAAATCAGTGCAGGAGAACCAGATATCATCTTTTTTATTCCATGCATTCTTCTTACTTGTCAAAGCCAAGTGTTTACGTTACCCACAATGCATCCCGATTGCTGACAGTTCAATCTGAAATTTCAGTGTGTTATGCTGGTAGCAGCTAATGTATCCTTGAGATGCTACCCTCAACAGAGACAAGGAGCAGGCTACAGAGCTCTGGTAAACTCAATCCTTTGTAACTCCACACCTCCAGATTTGTTCATTTTAAGACTTGTAGTAGCAGTTTATCAGACTTTTCACAGCCCCTCGTGGAACCACAAACGGCCTTATCCAACTTTTTTCACCCATGCAGACATGTACAAATCAATGGAGTTCCCCTTTAAGTCAGAGATAATTTCCTGTTTTGCTCCTAAATTTCACTTTACTTCACGTTTACAGAAAAGCATTCCGTGACAAAACCTGAACATCATAAAATAATTTGATCCACATAGTTACTCTTAAAGGGAATGTGACAATTTTCTCAACTGAAGCTACACTTTGTGCTTTAGGCTGATAAGATGAGAGTATTTTTACAAGCAGAGACAGAAAATCTCATATGCCTTAAAGGGTTGTGAATTAATTACTCTGTGCGATTTTCACACTAAATGGCATGAACTGAATGGCTAATGATTAATGGCTGCCTGAAAGGTAAAAAAAAAAAATACTAAAACATGAGGCATGCTTTGGAAAATGGTCATTAATGTACCATTACCTACAATTTGAATTTAATGGTCTTTGAAATACAAAACCACTATTATCGCCCCCAAGTCATTTATGTTTTTGTTTTCTTTTAAATATAAATCTTTTGGAGACATGTTTGCCTTTGATGGAGCAATCAAGTTTTTTTTTTTATAGCTGCATATCCAACCTTAGTAACAACAGCTGTTTACAGTCCTGCCAAGAGCTTCAGCCATCATTGCATTTACAATACAAGAGGTTATAATACGCTCTACTTCTTCAGGGCAGACTGGACGCTACAGTGACCCAGAATCGGAAAATGACTTTGCAGGCCGACCAGGTCGGAGCTAGCTGGTCAGCATGCTAACTTCAGTAGAAGAAAAAAAGTGATAGAAATAAAAGCTAAACAAGAGGGTCCCACCGCTGGAGACAGATGTTGGTCAGTAAAGGAATGAAGTTTGATGCTGAACTTGCTACATTTCTTCTAGACGGGTAAGTAAACAGCTGTTAATGCTGACGTTCACTAGCAAAAATCCATGTTACTAAATTTATGTTCCTGATTTGCTGACAGATTTGCTATGTACCAATAGCAAAACTTACATATAGGTCCTTTAAAATCACCCATATATTCATAGTATATCCCTTTGGGGTTGAAAATGATCCAATTAATTTCTCCCTTATCTGAGTCCCTTGGCTTTGACGTCAAGTGTCTAATAATATCCTGTTTTCTCCAATACATCTGATTAAAGCGAGCAACTGTATCCTCTCATTTTGCTGCCTTGAGTATTAGTCTTAAAAAATAGGAAACTGAGGAGAGGAAAGGGGATACACCACGTCACACATGTGGCATTAGACTATGGGAACGAAGCATGAGAAAATGGTAAACATCACCTTGGAAAAAGGATTAGCTGTATGTCAGCTGGATGACAGAATAACAGGGAAATAACAATGAGGAGCAACTCACCTTAGAGCTGATGATGGTGCCATGGACGCCGTTGTCACTGATCTTAATGGTTATTTGCCTTTCTGAGAGGTCTGGTCTGATGAATGGGGGCTGAATTTTGATGTGGGGTTTTTTCCTGGGGTCCAGCATGTACCTGTGTGGAAATGGACAACATGCTTTAACGAGATTCTTTCTTGTCATGTTGTGCCACTTTGGCAGTTTACAATTTTTAGTTTGACAGTCAGCGTTGCCTTTAGATTTGAAATGTAATCCACTGCCGCATTGGAAATAACCACAATGAGAAGTTTACATCTCTGTAACCCAGCCAAAGCAACACACAATCAACTATTACAGTGATTCACATCAAAGTAAACACCATACATCTAAAGGGGGGCACCAGTATTATCTTCCTGACTACAGTAACCACTATTGCTGCAAACTGAATATACACTGAACAAAAGTATAAATGCAACATTTTTGTTTTTGTTCCCATTTTCCATGAGTTGAAATAAAAGAAATAAAAGTCAAAGACTTTTTCTAATCCCACAAAAGACTTCTTTCTCTCAAATTTTCTTCACAAAAATTGTCTCCAAATTCTCAGAGACGACCTTGGAGACGGTTTATGATAGGGAAACGGACATTAAACATGCCGAGTGACTGCTCTCTCAACCAGTGCGACATCTGTGGCTTTGTGTTGTGTGATAAAACTGCACATTTTAAAGTGGCCTTTTAATGTGACAAGCCCAAGGCACACCTGTGCAATAATCATGCTGTGTAATCAACATCTTAATATGCCACACCTGTCAGGTGGATGGATTATCTTGGCAAAGGAGAAATGCACACTAACATGGATTAAAACACATTTAAAATTAATTAATTTAATGAAATTTAAGAGAAAAAAGCCCCCTATGTGTGTAGAAGACAATCTTATATCTTTTATTTCAAATCATGGAAAATGGGAGTAAAAACAAAAGTGTTGCATTTATATTTTTGTTCTGTTTCTGTGATGTAACAGACAGAAGTTAATGTAACATCATTGATTTTAATTTGAAAACCCTTCTTATTCTAGCCCCACTGCAACCCTGAATCTATCATTTTGTCTTTACTTTCTACATTGTGAGATTACAACAGTTAATGTTGTTAATGTTAAGTATGAGCATTACATGAGACTCCAGGCTATATCATATAAACTGCATATGCATCCATAAATAAAACATGGAAATTCACACTCATTATTTCACTTTTCTCTTACTTCATATACTGAACTTTATACTCCACTATAAAACTATGGCCTTTTGAAACACTGATGAAATTAGCCATGAATTTTATATCTGCATAATCCCATTGTGTTTGTTACACAGACATTTCAGACACAACTTCTAAACAGTGTTTTAAGTGATTCTTACAGGGTTTGTTCATAATTAAAATGGCTGTCACTGAGTTCTTTTAATGTTTAATGGTTAGTGTGGGAACTGGGGAAATAAATGTGTGATGTACTTCCCATGGAGTCTTTACATATTTCAAGTAATCAACCCCTACATGAAAAATATCCATGTTACTAAATTAATGTTACTGATTTGCTGTCAGATTTAAAAACAGATCATTCAGTATCACGGTGAAACTACTTAAAGGCAGATGCTTGTAACAAAAAGCATTTCACCCCCACCTGCTGTTGTTGATTTTCATGGGATGAGACTTGTCCCAATAGGATATAAAATTGTGTGTGTGTGTGTGTGTGTGTGTGTGTGTGTGTGTGTGTGTATACAAAAAGCACATTTACTAGCTCTGCGCTCTGTTTCCCATTAACTCTTGTTCTACAGACTGATTCAGTTCTCTCAGCCATCTGCCTCCCCCCAGGGTTGCTGGCTGCTTTCAGGCAGAACAGAATACACACCTCCACAACCACCTCAGAGCACGTGAATACAATCATACACACACACACAAACACACACACACACAGGATGGATGGAAGGCCTCCCTGCAGTTAGATGATGCTGCACTCATGTCATGGAATGGATGCCATGGGCCTTGATGAGCCATAACTCTACTTCCACATACTGTACATACACATACACATAAGCACATATCTGCACACACACACACATACACACAGCACAAAAAAGCATCTTACCTAGGTGCCAGAGGACTACATAAGACGTACTCCACGTTGCCACAGCAACCCTTGGTGAAGGGATTTACTCCCCCACGAAACTTGCCCGTCACCTGAGGAAGACAACGCCTTGTTTAGAATCAGCAGCAAAAGAAGCATGAGACCACACGCACCCACAGACACATACACACACACACGCACGCACCCACATGCACACACACGCACCATCAAACACATATAGGTCCAGTGCTTGAATGTGAAGGTGATTCATAATAGCTGTGTGTGTGAATATTTGTTCAATAGCATTTGTGTTATTATTCCCTTTATGAAGGTAAATGCACGTCTGTCCACACAGGCTACTGGACAGCATTATTCCACAGTATGTGCAGCTGGGGTGTCAGTAAAGATGTTTGCATTGATTCTCAAGATTCTCCAAATATTTCAAAGGTGCCCTGAAGCAAGCCCCAACACTGAGGCAGCTCCAGGTGTGAATGTTTGGATCTGTGTGAATGTGAAGAATCTTTGTTCACTCTCCCTGGATAGATCATAGTCAAATAAATGTCTGTGTGTGTGTGTAGCAGCTCCTGTGCTGGTGTCTCCTCACCTGTTCATTGGTTGTTCGCCCTCGAGCCACGAGCACCATATGGAAACCTGTGAGTCCCATGACTGGAATGAAGAAAAGCCCTGCTATACACATCACCACCAGTCTGGACAAAGGTCAAGGTCAACAACAACAATACAAGCTCATAAGAACATGACCAGATGGACTTAATAACCCAAAGCTACAAACACCGGCTTTATCCTCTGACAGCTTTGTTTCTCCAAATGCTGAATGCAAGAAGTGGCCTACTTTATACAATATCCATTTACACTGCAACCATAAGTTTCACTTCACTTCAACTACTGACCAAAAGTGTTTTTACATCTTTTCACTAAATTGTTGATCGGCATCAAAAGCTTAATTACTCATTGTTGATGAGTTTATTTTTAGCACTAAGGAGTGAGGTACTTACACCTTGTTGTATCTTGATGAACGTAGTCGGTATCTTTATCCATTACATTTTAGGCTTAATCCTGTTATCACCATTCATGTTAGTAATCCTCAAATAAACAGAATAGAATAAAAAACCAAACCAAACTGTCCATTTAAAAAAAGAAGTAGGTTCAGGCAGTGAAAGGATACGTGACAGTGGTGTGCAGCGCTCCCAGCTTCTCTCGGTGGTGGAGCACAAAGATGAGGCCGAAGGAAAAGACTCCCATCATGTGGATGCTCAGCGACAGCAGGAAAAGGAAGAAGTAGCGGTAGTTCCTCCGTCCGATGCAGTTGTTCACCCAGGGACAGTGGTGGTCAAAGTCCTGAGGAGGGAAGATTTTATGCAAGGTATTCATGAGGCTTTAAACTATGTGACCTACAACTGGTCTGGGTTCAGGCTTTAAATCTGATTGTAAATATCGGTTTATACATTTTTGACCTAGGCATCATCTCTGATCACTGAGAAGGTTCTAGTGCAGTGTCTTGACTAGTGTCATCAAACTGTTCTTGGTTGAATAAAAGGTTATGAGGAGTGTTTTAATTAAATATTCAATCCATAATCAACCTATTCCTCCAATAAGTGTTTAATACTACCAGCAGAATAAGGGTGGCATCTCAATGTGTGAATACTAATACTAATCAACATCCTCATGAAGAACTTTTAAAATCAGTATTTTTATTTATTTGATTGTTTCGATAGTCAAAAATAAAAATCCTGTAAGAAAACAGGATGTGGGAATCCAACCTGTTTACTTCTACATCCTATGTGTCGACCAAATCGAGGATTTAAAAGCTAATACTAATGACAGTATTTTACGGTTAAATTTGCCAAAAGCTGATATTTATTCCAGTAATTATGATCTTTAATGATGACGATTTTCTTGCCAATAAACACGTATATTTAACAAAACATTATATATTTATATTCAGTGTTTATCTCAGATTTTAATTCTTGGCAGGACAGAAAAGCCTCTGAGTGGATTCAAGCTATAAAAATATATACAAATAAAAACTGCATCATATTTCTTATCAAATATTCCCAATGTGAGCAGGACGACATAAGATTATTGATTAAATGCTAATATTGACCTGTAATATTGACATTTAGATTTTGCTGCCTGCACTTATACTGAATATACAGTCTCTCTGTTTACACATGTGCACTTGTATCCACACACACCTCCACACAGTTGTCACAGACGCTGCAGTGCGAGCAGCGAGGCGGCCTGTAGAAGTGGCAGGTGGCGCACCACTTCATCCGGACCTGAATACCCTTGATCTCCACGTTCTTGTAGAGCGGCGCTCGGAAATCATCGTCCTTGTCCTCGTCCTCGTCCGCTGCGCAGACACACGTTAACACATTAACGGAGTACATGTTGATGCGTATGGTGGAGCAGTACACACACACAGGCAGCAGACACGGTAAGAAGAATGGTTTTGATTCAGTTTGACAGGGGCAACAGGGGAGCAACCTGAAATGAAGTTCTCCCCTGCTGTTCACTGTCTGCAGAGAGAGCAAACACAGGGAGAAATGAATATTTTTATAGACATGACCTATTCATTCTGCTTTTCCCATTAAGGCTGACTAACAAAGCACGCTGTGACTCATGTATGGCAGAAGCTGTTCACAAAGATTTTTTTTTTTTTTTTTTTTTTTTAAATGGGAATTTATCCTCTAACTGTGGCAGAGTTGCTCTATCAGACCTAAACATGTAACTGACCCCTTCACCTCTGCGGCTTGTACTCTCACAGTGTGAGTGTGAGAGTACAAGCAGCATCTCCACTGTCCTTGGTGTGACTGCAGTCAATCAAACTGTTTGTGTGAAGCTTTGTGCTTGGTGCCGCTTTGCTTTGGAGCTGCGGTGGCGAATAAAATGTCTTTCAGCTGATCAAAGGGCTCATTCAAACCATGTGCACAGAGCTTCGACCTGAGAAAATAATTTCACAGTACAATAGTAATTGCGGGGAGATCCAGGTAGCTCAGCACACAGAGAGTGTGGGAGAGAGGGAGAGAGTGGAAAGAGAAAACAAGAGAGAAACAAGAGGTAGAGCACAGAAATAAACAACTCCATAGCGAGAGATTGCTCTGTTATTATGGCACTCAAGTCTCTTCAAATAGATTTTAAAGGTAAACCGCCTGCCAGAGCAACAGACACAAACAGCAGTTACGCTTGCATCTCCTCTGACAGCTTCGTTTCTCCAAATGCTGAATGCAAGAAGTGGCCTACTTTATACAATATCCATTTACACTGCAACCATAAGTTTCACTTCACTTCAACTACTGACCAAAAGTGTTTTTACATCTTTTCACTAAATTGTTGATCGGCATCAAAAGCTTAATTACTCATTGTTGATGAGTTTATTTTTAGCACTAAGGAGTGAGGTACTTACACTTTGTTATATCTACATGAACGTACAGTCGGTATCTTTATCCATTACATTTTAGGCTTAATCCTGTTATCACCATTCATGTTAGTAATCCTCAAATAAACAGAATTTAAGCCGCAGGCACCTGCCCTGATACAATTATTGCTTGCATGAAGGTCAGGTGTAATTTTATTGGTGTTATGGGTTGTAATGCTCAATTTTTTGTTTGAAAAATGAGTCACTATTATCACTATTAGTTATTTCCAACAAGGACATGCATTTTCCTGCCAGAGAAGCATCTCGAGGACGTATCTATTAGCAGCATTTCACTGCATTTATTTCCCCTCACAGCATCAATATGTGTGTTTGTGTCTGTATGCACAAGTGTTTTCTACTGATCACAAGTGTATCATCCCTCATGAAAGGGTCTATGTGTGTGAGTGAGGATGCGATAGCTCTTTATTTTGCTTAATGACACTTGGGCAGGGTGCTTCGCTTCGCCCAACTAAAAATAGCTGCTTGCTGTAAAGCTGAAAACGAGGCCGGTGAGAGCGGTGAGACTGAACAAAAACAGTAAAGCTGCGGGACATGAAACCAGTGAAGGGAAACATGCTAAAATGTTCTAGAGATCAGAACAGCAGAGTTGGGTGATAATTCTCTGTGGGTTCCTCACTGCAAGCGACTACTTACGCGTAACATATAGTCTCTTTATTCTCTGATATCGGCAACAATCACAGCAATTAACACTGTTTATGTAACATCCTCTGGGATCACAGAAGACAGACTAAATCAAATCATATGAATACAAAAAAAAAATGAAATAAAACTCACTGCATCACCACACTGGCCAAAGTTAGTGCTAGCCTATGTTGATCAAAACAGACGGCTAAGAGTCACACTGCAGTTTTGATACTGGAGTGAAAAGAAATGCATGCATTCATTGGAAAAATGAGGTGGTTATTCTAAGAGGCGTAAGATCCTGCATGATGTAAACACACCTTTTAAGTATCGGGGAAACTTCTCTCACTGAAAACGTCACTTATTGAGTTCAGCAAACTGCAATATACTTAGAAAAATTTCTGTTGAAATTGCCTTATTATCCACAGTCACCTCTCTCATCTGCCTTTTACCTCAGTTTAAAGTTTCCTATAAACAGAAAATGAAAATATACCACTGTGCCATACGTCAGTGATTTGAACGGAAAGATCTTTAGTACACACCGACCTTTCATTTTCACTTTTACAGTCTGAATGATGGAGTGATTTTTTTTCTCAGCAGATGTCATTTAATAGCTATGTCACTTCTTCATTTCTTCAATTCACTTCAATTGTGGGGTCTGCTGCCTCTGAGATACAACATCAAGAGCTTGGAAAACAACTCATCCCTCAGTAGTCTATAAAACCCAGTGGGGCAGCAGCAGCGGCAGAAGGCCACTGTCACCTCTGGGGAGGCAGATAACCTGCACTTTATACAACCTAATGATCATTACCCCCTTTATGGGCAGAGAAAGCTCTTCCCAAAGACAGGTGCTTATCATTTACAGGCGCATTACAAACATCCCTGGGGATGGGTTCAACCATCATTACTTAACCGAGACAGCGTTGAGGACAAGGAGCCTGCATCAGGAGCACAAGTCAGTGCTGCTTGTTTGACAGGCTGAACAGCTGAGAGATACTCAATACACCTCGCAGTATGAAGGCTTGTATAACTTCCCCCAGTGTGCCGCATGTGGAGCATGTGGACTTTACAGACTGTAACAGGAAGATAATGGGGTAGTGAAAGATTGGGGAGGGTGGTGCTCTGATACGTGTGATGCCATTAAAGTTGTACCCTCTACATGACGACTAAACAGGGAGGAACCATTACTCATTATGAGAACATATAATTTGACAGATACTAATCACCAGACACTGGAACCCATTTTCACACTCCCAGACATGCAGACAAACCTCTGGGGTAAACACCAGGGTCCATGAAGGTTGCCATGCTGAAGTTGGCCAACACAAAGAGGAAGACCAGGCCATTGTAGAGAGGCACAGCGGGGGAGATCACCTTCGTCAACCAGGGGCACCTAGAGATACAAACGAGGGGATAGAGATTAGGATTCTTTCATCCATCACACGTTACTTAGTCACACACATTTTAACACCATTAGGTTTTGATCATAGGTGTGTTTCTTTTGTCCCAGTCTTAGTAGTAACCACATGATAATCATGACATATTCATGCACAATTGCTAGGATTCTTGGTTCTCAATAGGAGCAATTATCATAATTAGAAGCAAGATTACACAGAGTGAATTAGAGCAGGGAATACAGTGGATACCAGAACTGGTGACCTACAGAAAACAAAACAACAACAGAACAGCCAGCATGAATCAATGTTGCTACCCGCACTGTAATTCTTTGCAAATTACCCGGACACTGAGTTTCTGTGGAACCACTTATCTGAAGGGTGGATCCTTAGCCTGAAGGCTTCTTTAGAATTACCTGCTTATTAATCTGCTTGGTGTTTCATAAAACTAAATGAATAATATATCAATCCTTTTGTGTGATGTTCGTTTTAAAGAACAGACAGATAGCATCAGGTCACAGCCCATCTGACCACGTGAGCCGAGCTGCAACGGTGCAGTTGCAATAGAAGAGGTGTCACCCAATGACAAAAACTACTATTACGCAAGTGACTTCAGCAGCCTGGTAGGAAAACTGAGATTAAATTTGTGGAACAACAATGGATGTCACACTTGTCACAATCTCATGCTAGAGGATCACAGGATAACCAAGATTCATCCTATAGTTGTAAAGATATTTCTGTCTGGACCAAAGCGGTGGAACATCCATGCCGCTAGCATGGCTAAAAATAAAGCTTACCAAACCTGGATGAGCTTTAGTTTCAGGTCTGGTCACTCTTCATTGGATAACAGCCTTACTGTGAACTCTATCTCAACCTAACTGTGCCATCACATCACATTTGCCATCACGTACATCTGACTGAACCTCTGCCATGCAGGTAACTTAGGCTGGACACGTCAATGGAAATCTGTCAGGTCAGTCAGGTATCGATGGGAAACCTGATTTAAACTCTGCCAACATTTTGCGTCATGACTGACCTTCTCCACTGCCTGCAGGTCATAAGTCCGTCAGTCAGTGCTGTGAAATATTCAACTGCGGAGACACCTGAATCACATCCATGACCCCACTCAATCACCTGGACTAAAATGTCAAGACAGCGTCCACTTCCTGGGGCGCTATCATTCAAATCAACTGTTTATGTGATGTGAAACACCATTAGAATGAAGATAGGTGTTAACGCCTACGGTCAGACGTTATGCAGAGAGCCTGGAGGTCACAGACCCTGAGAGAATTTATGAATTAATAAAGTATCTCACAGGAGAAGGAAGAAGAGACTTGAGAGTGTTTCCAGCTCTCTTTCCTTACATAATGACTAACATGCCCACGCCCACTTGAACACGTAATAGATACACATGCACACACTCAGACATTCGAGAATGCTTTTCCAGCTTATTCTGACGTCAAAAACTCAATTTCCTGGCACCCGTGCCCGGAGATCATCTTCAATCCATATCTCTTTTCCCGCTCCACCGGTCCTCTTTTGCTTTGTTGAATTATTCAGAGCCGTGGCTGTAGAGAGCCACTAACAGAGAAAAGAGAGGCGCTAACGGGGATGAGATGGCCTGTCACACAACCAGTCCGCACAGGGCTATGGGCATGATTAATTCCTCCAAGATATCACTGCAACATATCAGGGCAACGCTGGGACCAATTATAGTTGACTTTATTCACATCACTTGAAAATGTATCTCACATTTATACTATTCTTCAGTGATGTATTACAAGCATATTATAAACTCATCAGAGGCAGAGATTCATTTTTATGATTAGACAATCCCCAGGAACATGCCAAGTGTTGTTTGTGATATCATCATTCTTATTGTGGAGGTAAACTGTCTGTGGATGGAATGAGCCTATCAATGAAAGAATTAAGCCACTCTGGCAGTGTGGCTTGAGGAATTGTAATGTAGGTCCAGCACTTTGGTCCAAACTGGATTATATTAACTACGATCGGATGTTATGTTATATCAAGTTATTTTGTATTGACATTTATTTTGCCCAAATGATAAATCCTAATGACTTTGGTTCCCTGACTTTTCCTCAGGCACCACCTGCAGGTCAAGGTTTTTGGATGGATTATCCCAAATTTGACATAGACACTGACAGTTCCCAGATGATCTCTTAAATAGTGGTTCTATAGAGCCACCATGTTGACACTTTTCATCTAGTGTCATCATCAGATGTATAATGTCTGTCTGTGAATTATCTGTGTGTCCATTTTAATCCCTGTGAATGTATGTGTGCCTGTCTATGTATAAACTGTATATGTCTATTTTTGTACAGAAGACATCCCGATCTCAATAAGACTAGCTGTTTGAATAAAGGATCTTATAATAATCAGGTCAAAATTTCATCAGGTTCGTGATCAAATATCTGGAACACTGTTGACATTCATCAGCTTCAGTTGTAATTCGTGTCCAGTGCTAATTATTAAATATAAGGATGCTAACACGTGAAATTATATCTGCTAAACAGATCCATGTTAGCACTGTCATTGTGAGCATGTTAGCATTTAGCTCAAAGTACCACTGTGCCTAAATACAGCCTCACAGGAGGCTTGAATGGCTGCAGACCCCTCGTCTCTAAACCTAGACTCTTAACTGGTTAAAACCTGGATGGGATTTGTTGGATTGGAAATGAGATCAGTCACCATCAGTGTGCCACTATTTAAAAAAAACCATATACTTTCACACTTGGATTGGTAATTTATTCTCTGAACACAGTTTTGTCAGTTTATTTATGGTACATATTAACTTTTACAAGACAACATCCTCAAAGTACATTTCAGTGGAAGTGATATTGACTCAGCAGACTGTAATACCACGCTGTTTCATCACAGCTTTGGCAACAAGTAGACAAGGTGCAAATGCCTACAAAGTTGATCAAAGAAAAGCAATAGCATGCAGCTCCACCATCTTACAAAATCCCAATTTACTCGCCTGTCAAAGGATCATGTGTTTTTGCCCACAATGAGATTCAGAGGAGCCGGAGATAAGGGACAAATGGAGTGCAGCTGACAGCGACCATTTTAGGAGCTTGGGCGCAGACAGCGTGGGAGGAAAATGTGACTGAGAGAAAGCCTGATTAAGGCCACAGACGTTGGTTAATTGTGTAGGAGTAACAAATAACCACAGACTGCTTATCAACACTGTTTACAAGCCACTTTTACTACTTGTGTAACCATGATACTTCCACTGGGACAGAAAAAGCCCTCAGCTTGTCAAAAAGTTTGGATAAGATTTATCAAGTTGAAAGGGCTTTTCCTGCCAAAGGTGCGGTAAAGTAATGAGTTTGGTTCTGTCTAAGTTTAAATCCTGAGGCTGGCCAAAGTGGAAGAATAGCCCAGACTCTCTGTGGTAATTAAAATGCCTGCAAACAGGAGCTGGCAAGTTAACAAAGCAAGCAACCTCCATGCAATCTGCATTTAAAATGGCAGCTCGGGGACCCTTGAACATGCACGGCAAACTGTTGTGGCAGAGTCGTAAAGGTAGTGTTCATGCTGAGGAATCTAATGAATGAAAATGACATATCATCTCCTGGCTGAGATGAGGAAGAGAATAATGTTAAACAAACAAGGGATTAAAGAGGAACAATCCACAGCTTTTGATACTGGATAGTATTAAAACTGTATGTATTTTTATCAATCAGTATTTCTTATATATACGTGTAATGTTAAAGGAGTTTGCTGTAGAGAATGTTTCAGTGTCTTTCAGTTTATTGTTTTGGTTTATGACACTCTCCAGCTGCAGCAGACAGACACAAGCAGCTGAGGATATTTCCCTCAGGAATTGGTGGAGACCAAAACTGAGCTAGAAGACTGAATATTGGACTTCAATTTGTACTAATGTTGCTCTGTGTTTGCTGGATGTGTAAAACAGGTGAAGCTAGCTCATTATAACAACTTAAACGAGGGAATAACATGTCAATGATGTTTCACTGACCCAAATCGCCAATAAATAAATAAATAGAAATAAAATAAATAATGATACAAAATATAATACAAAGAAATAAACCGATACAAATTCTGTTCATTGTTTCCTTGTCTGGTAAAGCCATGTCCAGAACTGACCAGTAAAAATCTGACAGATCTCTTCAGCTGTGATCAGTTTCGTCTAAACCGCAGCTTAAACTCACTCTAATTAGTAAAGGAGCACTAGTTTTCCCTTCTGTATCATGTTACTCTTGTGGGCCTCATGTCATTTGTGCACAACAACGATGCTGCATCTGATATCCACCCCCGAGACTCAGTGAAATCATATAATGCAAACATACTGACGGACACATACACACACTTAGCTTTGTCCAGCGTCAGCTCAGGGACTGAGAGACAGAATCTTAGCCGCGGGTATCTGATAGCTCTCTCTGTCACTGCAGCAGTAGGGGTGTTTGTGGTTGAGTATTAAGATTAGAGAAAACACCCTGGCTTCCTGGTGATGATAACCCAGCTGTCTTTCAAAAAAAAAAAAAAAATCCAGGACACAAATCCTGTCTTAAAATCTCAGCTGATTGCCAGCCACCCTAAAAAACACAGGCTTGAGTCCGTTGATTAAACAAAATCTGGGTGGAACACTTTGAAACAAACCCTTTAATCCCACTGCTGTGGAAAACCTATAGAGGGAGGGAAAAGCACCACGGTCCGTGTAAGGTAATTAGACGTTCGATGAAAACTTAAAGCTTTTTAAAGGTGGCAGGATTGATCTGTTGGCACAGTTGTGGCTCCTAAATAGGGCCACATCTACCATGAAAAGCCATCTACATGCTCACTACACACTACACATCCCAAAGCTATTTGACTACTCAAATGTGCCTGTCCTTTATTTGCCTGCTTTTGGATCGGAGCAGAAAAAGCAGCCCTCTCTTTGAAGTTGCTCTTATCTGTTCTTTTAGTAGCTCTGGGAGAGGGGGGGTGAGGGGGTGGGGGTGAGGGGGTTTGAGGGGCA